ACTCTGACATTGCTCTTACTGATATTTCTTAAATATTTCTATTTTTTTTTTTTTCTAACTTTTTTGGATTATGTGCTTATTGTTTTGTATTGCTAGGTATTATTACTGCACTGTTGGAGTTAGAAACACAAGCATTTCGCTGATACCATCTGCAGATATGTGTAAGCCAATTAACTTTGATTTGGCAGAAAATATAATTTATGAATGGGATCGATTAATTAATAAGATGAAAAACAATATTACAGAGATCAGAATAGTCACACAATTCGTTGACATCACAATTATAGCACTGTTTTGTTTATGTCAGGGTTTCACAAACTGGGTGCACGTTTTGGTTTTTGTCCTAGCACTACACAGCTGATCCAAATAATCAAGTAATCATCAAGCTTTGATCATTTGAATCAGCTGTGTAGTGTAGGGCAAAAACCAAAACGTGCACCCCTTAGGGTCCCGATGACAGACATTGGGAAACGCTGGTTTATGTTACGAATCAGAAAACTATCATTATTATTGTAGATTATACAAAACGCCCTCTGATAACTTTCTCTGGCCACCAGAGGGCATCCTTTTCTTGTTTACAGGCCAGGGTATGCAATGGGCTCCAGTATACTCCGCACACAGTCGTAGCATAGGCAATATAAAGCAAAGCATAGGAGTTTCATAGGAGCGTCATTCCAGGCAGACATTTATACCCAATGCATGTAAACAAATCGAATGTGTATTTGTCACGTGCACAGGATACAGCAGGTGTAAACAGTACAGTGAAATGCTTCCTTGCAAGCGCAATACACACATACATTATTTATTTGTACATATTAAGTACAGGTTATTCTGTAAATGTAAAATGTGGTCAAAGCAAAACTATCTTATTGCAAACAGCTTCCCTATCTGGATTGATAAAAAACACAATTTCCATAAACACATCATTTGCATAGGTCCACTGAAAAAGAGAACCTGAAAAGTCATTGACAAACCCTTTATACACTTCAACCTTACATTTACGTCATTTAGCGATTTACAGTTAATGAGTGCATACATTTAAAAAAACAAATTATTACTGGCCCCCCGTGGGAATCGAACCCACAACCCTGGCGTTGCAAACGCCATGCTCTACAAACTGAGCTACATCCCTGCCGGCCATTCCCTACCCTACCCTACCCTGGACCAATTGTGCGCTGCCCAGTGGGTCTCCCGGTCGCGGCCGGCTACGACAGAGCCTGGATTCGAACCAGGATCTCTAGTGGCACAGCTAGCACTGTGATGCAGTGCCTTAGACCACTGCGCCAACCGAATTCACTATTTTATACTTTTCTTAAAAATGTCCTGCAGCGATTTTTGGACTTCTCCTGTTGAAAAGCGATATCCCAAGTATAAATACAGTAAAGTACACACGCTAAAGCAAAATAGTGTTTTTTAGACGACCGCAAACTTCCAAGGAGTAGGGCATTCAAGGAGTTGGTCTGATGGTCAAATGTGATGTCATCAGCCTCCCCTTGGTTGAGGAACAATAGACCTATTGAGATGTGCCATTTGTAAAGTAAATCAGGTGTTAAATGAGGTGAAAAGGAAACTGGTTGAGGAGTTTAAGAGAACATCTATTTACATAAAGGTTTCCCTTGTGCCATACTATTTAATTAATGTGACAAACATAATTTAATTACTTGGGGTGAATTTGGATAAAAGGACATTGACCAAATGATGTTAACACAACTACTGTGTAGGTTAAAACAATTTCATCTGTGCTACTCAAATGTGACCAGATACTTTGTTTCTTGGTAGGTATTTGCAAAAACAATAACACAATAATATAAAAGCGTAATTTCATTGGAACAGCACAACAGTTGTTCTCAATACGGCAGAGAACAGTACAACAGAAGAACTGATGCTACTGTACAGCAATGGCATGATAAAAGGTGTTCCCTAGAGATCCAGACAGTAGCTTGGCCAGACAAACTGCCTTATTAAGGAGTCCCCCAGGCAGCTTTTCAAACGGGGAGCTTCAGAACACCAGAGAACCCATCTCCTCTGCACAGTGGCCCTTTAGTTTTTTCTCTAAATAAGGCAGGCTTATCGGAGTTCCTGTCATTTCGGCCACATTCCCATTGCCAAACATCCCTAGCTCCGCTGTGGCAGTGGCGAGCTGCAGGCCTGCACATTCTTTTCCCTTGTATGGGTAAATGCCTGTCCTGGGCTGGCTCTGTTTGGGACAGCCGGGCCAGGCGATTGGCCGGGGGAGGAGTGGGAGGGGCTGGTTAGAAGACTTGCTTTAAACAAACTCCTCAGTGGAGCTGCCTGCTTCCCTTCCAACTAAGCACTGAGACCCAGACAGAAGGCCTTAGAGAACTCCCCAAAACAACTACTATTCACCTGAAGCCAAGGTGAGAAGGATTTAAAAAAAAACATTTTCCTTCTGTTTGAATGTTGTTTATCTTAGAGGGATTTTATGTTGGGATTAGATGTAGCACTTTAAAGCATTAGTCAGAATTGTATGGGAAACTGTTAACAAGAGTAAAAGCTGCGTTAAAGGTGGGGGCTGGATAGGGTTTCTTCTTGCATGCCCAAAGCGACCAGTTACAGGTCTAGGGTCATCTGGAGTAACTTCTCATCACGGTGGTGCTCTGTAGCCCCAACAACTGTGTTGTGGAATTAAGAGTTGACCAGCTGTCAACACTCTGTGACCTGTATAGAGCTTTCTAAACTCTAGAGCAGGGGTATTCAACTCTTACTCTACGAGGTCCGTACCCTGCTGGTTTTCTGTTCTACCTGATAATTAATTGCACACACCTGGTGTGTGTCCCAGGTCTAAATCAGTCCATGATTAGAAAATGCAGTGGAACTGGCTTTGAGGTCCAGAGTTGAGGGCTGTAGAGCCTCACTTCTGCTCTACAGTCTTTCATGTTTACCTGTTTTTAGACAACGAGAGGTTGGTTGGGTCTGTTGAAGTGTGTTGCGTTTATAAACTTCCCCGGTGTTGACCCCTCAGAAGTAGTAGTGGTGTCCTGTGATGAGAGGTTAAGTGGTTAGGTCAAGACAGTGATTGACATAACTGTGAGTGTGTGTGTGTGTCTGGTCAGTGGGGCCCTGGCTGCAGATATGAGGTGTGGTGGGTACACTGATAAACACGCAGTACATCAGAGAATAAAAAACCAATGATGAAGTTGATCTTTAAATGTTTTCAAAACCTCATCGGTGAGTCAGCCAGTCGAGAAAGCTGAGGAATTCAATGGGTTGCAGAAGCAGTGAAGTCATTCGGGCCTAGAAATTCATTCTAAAGAGATCTAGTTTGTTGGAATGAGATGAGGGTTTGGACAAGACTAATTTATCCGTTTGAATGGTTGTGCAAGCCGTCCTTACAAGGACATAGGGATCTAGTCGTCTCTCCACAAGAATGTGAAAGATTACAGGAAACTATAAATGTTTACAGGAAATCAGTAAACTAGACCCTGAGAAAGTCACTTCTAACATTCTCATTTTTGAACAATCCCCTAGGCATGGTGATGTGTTATAAATACATGGAAAAGAGATGGACTGTGAGGACTTCTGAGAATAAACATTTGCCCAGGGCCCAACATCCTAATCTTAAAATTCCTTCATCCTCTGAAATGAAGCTGGACAATGAGCAGGCAGTTAGCCAGTGAAAAACTCCCTTACATCTCTGTTACCTCCGATAGCAAGCGTAGAGACCGCAATAGAGTAACGTGAACAAACGCTATTGAAAGGAACAAGCAACTGCTCTAACATGTAACAGTATATAGTGAGAATCAAGTCAACTTCCCCATTGTAGAGAATCAAGTCAACTTCCCCATCGTAGACACGTTGTGCTGATTCATGGTATACTTTGTAAATCTTGGTAACCAATGGTACCATTTTTGGTGGGTAGTAGGATGGAGTGAGAGACAGACTTGTCGTTTGCCTAACATTTGACTAGGTTGTATCACTGGACAACTGGGTCCAGTAGGGATGAAACGTTTAAAAACATTATCTCGTTTTGTGCCTGCTGAACACGTCCATGATTTTGTGATCTACCTCTCTCACACACATGCAAACACACACCGACACACGTCGTTCCCATCTATGCTCAAATAAGGCTTGCTAAATGACGCTAAGGTAGCCTGCTTTGTGTCTTGGTTACCAGTATTTATATCTCCTGTATCACATGCCAGTAGAGAGAGAAACAAAATATACTCCATCAGTCATCCAACATATTTTACCATATGAGAAAGAGCTTTTGTGTGGAGAGTTTCCCTGAGTCTAAGCAAATCATTGATCTGAATAACATGCTTCAGTGGCTCTCAATGCATTATGCCATAGTCTGGCAGTCAATGAACTCATTATACCTCAAAATGACTCAACCTTAATGACCTGTTACTTCCTGTATGGTATTGGCTCTCGCTCAGTCAGTATTCTGATGTGCCACCACCCAGCAGCACTATCACCGCCTGTACACACGTCTTCAATGACGCACGCACACTGAGCCCCGCGTGTGAGTGACGGGTCTGAGTTTGGCCCGTTCTCCAGGATACCAGGTCACTATCTTGTGACATCTTCACACTGTTCACTGCAGGATGACACTTAGTTAGCAGTGGAACCACCTGCATCTTTAGTGCAGAGAGCAAGTGTAATTTGGAGGTCGATTGCATCTGGCACCAATGCAGAGACTGAAAATGGAATCATTGAGAATAAGTACTAACCAATTTTCTGGCGCCAAGTAAAGTCCCTAGACAATTTGTAACATGTATGATCATTTTCAACACATATCGCAATCACACTGATGAGGGTTAACATGTAGGCCTAACTAAATCAGGCTTTTGCATTTATGCTCTAGTGCCATGCTAAATTAATAAAGAGCATTTTTCTTTATTCAAGCTTTTTTTGGGGGGGGGCATTTCCCAAGGGACAGAGGAGAACCATCCTTCTCTTCCTCAGTATAACAGCCTACTCTTGGGAGTCTTATCTTTCATCCAACTGTAACCATCCATGTCCAATTCTGCACCCCTTAGGCCCATCTAACCACCATCATGTCCAGCAAACGTGCAAAGGGGAAGACCACCAAGAAGCGCCCCCAGAGGGCCACGTCCAACGTGTTCGCCATGTTCGACCAGTCTCAGATCCAGGAGTTCAAGGAGGCCTTCAACATGATCGACCAGAACCGTGACGGCTTCATCGACAAGGAGGATCTTCATGACATGCTGGCCTCACTGGGTAAGACACAGGCCAAAGGGGAACCCATAGGAACCTGATGTTAGTGGGTTGACTATATTCTATATACAAGACCTAACCAGCGTATACTCACCAATTCTAGACTTTAACATCCTCCCCAGAAACAGCCTTGTACATGTATAGCAACAGAACATTTCCCAGCTAAATACCAGTACTGTAAAATAGAGCGCTAACAATAAGCACGCAGACCGGTAATAACATCCTACTGGGCACAGACGTTGGTTCAATGTCATTTTGTGGAAACGACGTTAATTCAACCAGTGTGTCCCCAGGGGGATTGAACCATAACCTATATCTTTACTCAATGGCTACTATTGAACAGAACTCAGATTTGACCCCGTAACGTTGACCATGGTGTGTGTGTTCTGTTGTGGTCCCCAGGTAAGAACCCGTCGGATGAGTACCTGGAGGGGATGATGGCTGAGGCGCCAGGGCCCATCAATTTCACCATGTTCCTCACCATGTTCGGAGAGCGCCTCAACGGCACCGACCCCGAGGACGTCATCCGCAACGCCTTCGCCTGCTTCGACGAGGAGGGCTCTGGTGAGACACACAACTGCACGCACACTCTCCAATGTCAAACCCTAGCATCCACCTTCACAGTAATGTCAAACACTTAAAAGGAAAAAACAGACCGACATCTTTTCCTCGATTTGTCTCAGCCTCTCTCCTTACCTCCTTCTCAACCATATTGGAGAAGGTTCAAGGTCCCCCCACTTGGATCTTCTTCTCCAATGTGTTTAGAGTAGAGAGGATGAGACGAAATCGAGGAAAGATAACTTAAGAGCCAGACGATGACCCGCCTCTCTCCCATTTGTAGGAGTGATCCACGAGGACCACCTGCGAGAGCTACTGACCACAATGGGCGACCGCTTCACTGACGAGGAAGTGGATGAGCTGTTCCGTGAGGCGCCCATCGACAAGAAGGGCAACTTCAACTACGCAGAATTCACCCGCATCCTCAAACACGGTGCTAAGGACAAGGATGACATCTAGAGAGACTGACGACTGCTTCGCGGCTCGCACACACAGTGCTTTTTAGATGGAATGGACTTATTTTATAGTCAATGGTGATTATCCATTGAAGAGGAGTGTGTCTCAGCTAAATACATCTCAATAAGTCTGTAGTGGCTTCCTCTCTGTATCCTTTCTGAAATTCCCAGTGATTTGAATATTGCTTTACTCCTATCCAGTCCAGGAAAGGTGACAAGGTGAGAGGAAGCAATATTACTCTTGAGATGTACTGAATGCCTGTGTGTGCGTGCCCCCTCCCTTCCTCCCCTCCCCTCCCTCCCTCCCTGTGAAAAAAGAACAGCACTACATACCAGCCAAGTACCTCTCCTTGCCTCTCACACCAGCACCAGCACTGCCTCCGTAAGAAACTGCACCTTCTATCCAGGAGTTGGAAAACCACATTGTAAAGGACTCTATTGTATTCTATTAATGTTTTTGACAATCAAAGCAGGTTGTATTTTACCATCATTGCTTAAATGCTTATCATTCCACCCTTCTTTCGAAGGACCATGTTTCTCAGTGCTAGTCATATCCCCTTGTCATCTGGTCAGGTCTCTTCTAACTCTGCCTGCATCGATGCATCACAACCTCATTCAAGCTAAAACATTCAACATGAAGGGTCAGACCTGTTCAAGAAAGAGCAGAAGGAAGAAGTTGGGCTAGGTTGTGTTTGGGTATAATCATGTTTGGGTTGAATTATTGTTTAAGGAAATGTAGCATGCCTGTATAGGACCAACGAAGGACCCTGAAATGACACGTTCCACTGTGTCCTTTATTCCAGATGAGTAATTTAAATGTCCTGCTGCATTCAGTGCAGCATTGTATACCTTTAATATTCTGTATCTGAGAAAATAAAAGATGTTCCATACCCAAGTACTGATTGATATTCTCTTACATTGCAGTTGTGACACTTCACTTTGATAAGTACACTTTGATAAGTACACTTATTTAACTCTGCATTGTTGTTAAAGGACCCATAAGAAAGCATTTCACTGTTAGTCTACAACCTGTCGTTTATGAAGCACGTGACAAATAAAAATGTGTGATCAAATGAAGTGGTCCACTGTAATGAAACACATGATCCCACTATGTGAAAGGTTAAAGCACTTTGCACCAGATATTGACTAGGTAGTATTTCAAGAGCCACTGAGTCTTAGCTGAAATCAGTAGCGGTGAAACTGCCACAAGACGTAACTTCAAACAGTGAACACCATTTCCCCCCACCCCCCCTCGGACATCATTGCACATGAGAACAGTCGTATGTACAGATTTCTTTTTTACGACGATGCTCCTCTACCCAGTTTAAAAAACAAAACAAATGTGCCTAGGGCAGCCAGTGGCACCATTTCTCATGCAGATCTCAGCTTTAAAGGTCATTAACATTGTTTCACCTCGTGCAACAAAAAAGCTACATAAACTAAAGGAATGGAAACAAAATAACGAGGCTATATCCAAGTAAATGTGCAGCGGTACGGGTTAGTCAAGGTAATATGTACATGTAGCTAGGGGTAAAGTGACTATGCATAGATAAAACCGAGTAGCAACAGCATCTTATGTGAGTGAAGAAACGTGAATGTACAGTCCATTTCGGAAGTATTCAAACCGTCACTTTTTCCACATTACAGCCTTATTCTAAAATGGATTTAAAAAATAATACACACAATAGCCCATAATGACAAAGCGAAAACAGGTTTCTAGAAATGTTTGCAAAAGTACTATAGTCCCATGTAGCTCAGTTGGTAGAGCATGGTGTTTGCAACGCCAGAGTTGTGGGTTCGATTCCCACGGGGGACCAGTATGAACATGTATGCGCTCTGGAAAAGAGCATCTGCTAAATGACAAATGTAAATAAATAAAAAATAAATACATAAGTACTTAGACCCTTTGCTATGACACTCATATTTGAGTTTCCATTGATCATCCTTGGGATGTTTCTACAACTTGATTGGAGTCCACCTGTGGTAAATTCAATTGATTGGACATGATTTGGTAAGGCACACACCTGTCTTTATAAGGTCCCACAGTTGACAACGTACGTCAGAGCAAAAACCAAGCCATGAGGTTGAAGGAAATGTCCGTAAAGCGCTGATTGTGTCAAGGCACAGATCTGGGGGAAGGGCATCAAATTATTTCTGCAGCATTAAAGGTCCCCAAGAACACAGTGGCCTCAATCATTCTTAAATGAAAAAAGTTTGGAACCACCAAGACTCTTCCTAGAGCTGGCCGCCCAGCCAAACTGAGCAATCAGGGGAGAAGGGCCTTGGTCAGGGGGGTGACCAAGAACCCGATGGTCACTCCGACAGAGCTCCAGAGTTCCTCTGTGGAGATGGGAGAACCTTCCAGAAGGACAACCATCTCTGCAGCACTCCACTAATCAGGCCTTTATGGTAGTGTCCAGACGGAAGCCACTCCTCAGTAAAAAGCACATGGCAGCCTGCTTGGAGTTTGCCAAAAGGCACCTAAAGGACTCTGACCATGAGAAACTAGATTATTTGGTCTGATGAAACCAAGATGGCCTGAATGCCAAGCGTCACGTATGGAGGAAACCAGGCACCGCTCATCACCTGGCCAATACCATCCCTACGGTGAAGCATGGTGGCGGCAGCATCATGTTGTGGGGATGTTTTTCAGCGGCAGGGACTTGGAGACTAGTCAGGATCGAGGAAAATATGAACTGAGCATTAAAACCTGCTCCAGAGCGCTCAGGACCTCAGACTGGGGCGAAGGTTCACCTTCCAACAGGACAATGACCCTAAGCGCACAGCCAAGACAATGCAGGAGTGGCTTCGGGACAAGTCTCTAAATGTCCTTGAGTGGCCCAGCCAGAGCCCGGACTTGAACCCGATCGAACATCTCTGGAGAAACCTGAAAATAGCAGTGCAGTGATGCTCCCCAGCCAACCTGACATAGCTTGAGAGGATCTGAAGAAAATAATGGGAGAAACTCCCCAAATACAGGTGTGGCTGTAATCGGTGCTTCACAGTACTAAGTAAAGGGTCTGAATACTTATGTAAATGTGATATCAGTTTCGTATTTAATCCATTTTAGAATAAAGCTGTAACAAAATGTGGAAAAAGTTAATGGGTCTGAATGCTTTCCGAATGCACTGTGTGGCATCAATATGCATGCAAGTGTGTTTTGTGTGCATCTGTGTAGTGTGTGTATGTGTTCAGTCCAGTGAGTGTTCATCGAGCTTGTGCAAGAGTCGGTGCATAAAATAAATAAGGGGGGCAGTGCAAATAGTGCGGGTAGCCATTTGATTAACTGTTCAAGTCTCATGGGGTAGAAGTTGTTAAGGAGCCTTTTGGTCCCAGACTTGGTGCTCCGGTACCACTTGCTGTGCAGTAGCAGAGAACAGTTTATGACTTAGGGCCTTCCTCTGACACCGCCTGGTATAGAGGTCCTGAATGGCAGGAAGCTCAGCCCCAGTGATGTACTAGTGTAATCCCATCCCAGAAGGTGACCATCCAAAAGTTAAGTAGACCTCTGGACTCAATTTAGATGGAAATCGTTGGATAAAACTGGGGGAGGGGGATATCTTTCTCATGTAAATTATTTGTTATTAATCTTTGTGCTTCGAGACAAAAGGACATGGTAACAGTTCAGTTCTATATAAACAAACAGCACATGGATCAGAATATGAAAAAATGAACTTTTATTCTCTGAAATGCTTGTACAAAACACATTTAAAGTTTAAGGCATATATTGCACGGACTATTCAAAAGTTTCTATGTAGAAGGGGTATGTTCCCTCAATCCCAGGTTTAAGGCACAATAGCCAGTTATACTGTCCATACATCAGCCATGATTCATACAGTGAAATGGAAAAACATCTTTAGGATGCAATTGGTCATATTGAGAAGCTACACATTTTCATTTTAGCTACAATTCATGCCAAAAGAAAAAAAAAAACACCTGACGATGTATTTACATGCATTTTCACATTGGCATCTACGACCCAAGTTTCATTCTGCATCCAAAACCTGATATAGATATCTCCTTTCTAAATAATGTCCAGTATCCAGCTGTTTCCAGTATCGCAACAAGTAACATGTAGTCACAGTGGCATGTAGTATTGTATAAGTAGTATTGTATAAACCACGTACCCGCTTTATAGTACTGTATGTCTATTCACACATTAAAATTGCAACCATTATTTCTTACTATTCACTATGACCCGGAACCTCAGACGCACCAGTAGTGTTTGCTGGCCGAGAGTACTTAGCACATGTGAGCGTAATTTTCCAACAGAGTGCGCACCAATTTTACACATAGAAACGCATTAAAATGTTGGCAGTCAAATCTACAGCAGGTCCCTAAAAGACAGCGCGCTGAACGATCGGCAGACAAATGCTAAATCCACATTCGGTGCCGTGTGTGCGAGCTTTAAAACTCTTTAGAACATCTCCGTTAGTGGAATACCTGTACGATCTACCTTTCCCAATGACAACTCAGGAAACAGTGCCGACATCCAGCCGGTTAAAAGCAATCGAAGGGTAGCCTACATATCTGGGAGATATGACATGGCGGAGAGAATGGGATCAGTGCTCGTCACAAATCCAGGCTAATAATAACAGAATTCCATATCAACTCTTCCCATGCTTCTAGCTGTAAAATAAAACATTGTAACGGCATGGTCGTTTCATGCGTAACAGTTGAAAATAGAGGAATGTTGGACCTGTTTGAACTGACCTGACAGAAAAGTAAAAAAAAAAAACAACTTTGCAGCAGCACTGTGTGTTCACGTAGGGTCCCACAAACGTTTGTGCTGCGTTTAAAGTTAGGATTTGGCCATAATATGTGGTATTTGAAATAAGACCGTTTCATGGAAACTACAACCGTATAAGAATGAGTAACACTAACGAGAGGATATACTCCGCTAACAGAGAGGGAAAATAAAGAGAGGAAAGTAGAGTCCAATTTTCCAGACAGAGTTTGCTTCTCAATAACTTCCTCAATGACTTCAATACAACACCGACCAGCCTTTGTCATCCAAGGGAACAACTACGGGCATTTCAATTAAGACATATTTGGATTTGAAATACAAGGACCAAATCTTAAGGCTCCAATGATTCGCTACTTGGGTCAATCCCTCTCCAAACAGGATGACCCAAAAGCTTGAAAATGTTTGTAACAGGCTTCAACCATAGAAGACTATGGCATACTAGCGCACTTATCATAGCAAGTGTTACTTTACCCTTAAGAATGAGGAGGCAGCCTGACGGTGTCACCTGACTAAACCTTTAGCATCGACCACAAAATTGAGTTCTGTTACAGGACCAATGTGACCTTACACCCCCATCGGTCACACACACACATCGTCTTATAAGACACACACTGGGATTCCACCTCCTTCACATCCACATTAAAAACACTACGTCCCTGGAAATCATACACGATGCATAAAGATAATACAAACAGAGAGCAATACAAAAAAAAACATTCCTCTTTTTCACACACACATATATACATACAACACAAAAATACTGCTTACCTGCTAAGATACTATTTTGGAAATGGGTTTAAATGAATATTTAAAAAAGAAATTAAAAAATTATATTAAAAAAACACAGATGGGTAGTGTTCACATTCTTTGCGACTGATGATTTTGGGGATGGGTCTTGAATGTAGAATCCCTGGTGGCCACATGTTTACAGTAGCTTTAAGGCAAGGAGAGAGAAGGACATTGTAGCTGTGCAGTCAGGCACACCGCAGTACAATCAATTTCCCTTCTGCCTGTCTTCCGGCATTGTGAGGTGGTGGTGGGGGGGCGTCGGAATGCTCGAGATTGTGAAGTCCGGACATTTTTTTTTAAATATATCTAAAGTGCATGAACTGTACTGGAGGAGCACGACACTGGCGCTTGAAACACACACACACCATTGTCTCAGCCCCAGGTCCGCCCTCATTTAGCCTTGGTGGGAATGATTGACAAGCTAGGCAGCCTGGGTTTAAAGTCATCGAGTCCCGCTTTATACATTCAAGTCCGGTACCGCTAATGATGAGGCTAGATCTGCTGGTGCTGGCTTCAAGACTTAAAAACCGTATATACCAGGGGAAGGAAATGTACTCCTTGTCCGCTTTTGGAAATAGTTGAGATAGTGGAGTTCAAAATTACATAATAGAACTTTGTGTTGTCGTTCTTATGTTGACATCACATTTAACCAATACTCTGGAATGTTGACAGGTTCCGCCCAGCAACAGCCCCCATTGGTTTAAATAAAGTCCTGATAAAAAATTAAAATAAAAGCTTTAAAAAGCACTGTCTTTAAAACACTTGTCTTTCCATCCCAGTGTCTGATGTATGTGTCAGTTCTGTCATATTCAAACTGCGGAGCACAGACATACAGGATCAGTGGGCTGATGAAAGGAATATGTTCTCAGATATATTTATATATACAGTTAGGGGCAGTCTCTGGGTTTGGTGCTCCCCCACATACACAAACCAGGGTGTTGTGGCTCTAGTTGACTGTCTCGCTGACGGCATGCAGGGTGTGCTGCGCCCCCCACACCGTGGCTATGGGAGTCTGTGCCACGGGACCAGGCTGTCGGACTGTAACGTCGCTGTGGACCACACTCCACACACTGGCCACCGACTGGGCCCTCTGGACACTGCTGCTGCTGGGGATGGAGGAAGACAGGCCCAGGAATGGGGTGAGGGCTGGCGGAGGTGTTAGGACTGGGGCTAAAGTTGGGGCTGAGGTTGGGACAGGGGATAAAGTTAGTGCAGGGGTGAAGGTTTGAACAGGGCTAGGGGCTGGCACAGGGGGTTTGGTTGGGGTTGAAGCTAAGACTGGGGTGAGAGTTGGTGTAGGGATGAAGGTTGGGACATGGGTTGAAACTGGCACTAGGACTGGAATTTGGGCTGGGCGAGGAGGCAGACTTGGAGCAGGAATGAAGGCAAAGGCTGGGGTGAGTTTAGGTGCTGAGGAGACTGTGACAGGGCTTGGGACTGAAACTGGGGACACCATAACCTTTTCCGTGGGACTCTGCTCTCTGGGCGAGTCCATTGTAGCTTGGCTCGGCTCTGGAGGATGGGTCGGACCCATAGCACTGCTGCAGACCCCTGTGGCCTCTGTAGTGGCCCTATTCTGGCTCTCCTGGAGCAGGCTCATCTGACTCTCATGCTCAGCAGCCCTCTGGAGAGCTGCGTCCACCAGCAGCCTCAGGTCACTGAAGTCCTGGCTGGGGCACAGCTCCGGAGGGGTGGGGGGTGGCGTGTTGAATAGCCCGCCAGTGGGACTGGCGCTGATAACCGTGGAGCCCTTCTCCTCGGCCTCCCTCAGGAGAACGTGCGTGTCCAGCTGCATAAGGGCCTGGACGCAGCAGCCCTCTTGGCCGGGGTAGCCGGCTCCCGTCAGAATGGCCGTGGCTGTGGTGCCCAGGAGGCTGAGGTCCAGCGTGGGGGCTGGCCGGATGACCGAGGGCCGGAGTGGGGGCAGGGCTGGCGAGGGGACCGAGGAGGTGGGGCTTTCAGGGGAGCTACCTCCACCAGCAGTGGATGGGCGGCCCTCGCCTTTTCCTGCCCGCCTGGAGATGGTGAAATGGGTGGGGTCTTTGCCGTCCTTGCGGAGCAGGTCGGGGAGGAGGCGGCGACGGGCGTTGATGAACCAGTTGCATATCTGGAAAAGTGGAGGAATTCCTTTTAACAACAACGCCTGCATGACTGGGGAAACAAAAGGGGTGCATCTCAAAAGGCCAACTAGGCTTCCCTCAAGAGCCAAACTACAGATATAGATCTCAAGTCACTTGGAAAGTATTTTTTAGTTTAGTGTGCCAAGTCAACTAGAAGACACTAATAATTAGCTCAACCCATAACTCAACTGACGCGTATAACGAAGAGTTAAAACTGGTCCCAGGCCAGTTGTTTGGCCCACATATTCTCAGTCTCCCTCACCTTTAGGCCTTGTTTACCTCCCTCTAGTGGGAAACATATCCCCCACACACAGTGAGATGAGGGACATCAGACTGCTGGCATTAAAGAAGTCTCGGGTGAAAAACGCTGAGCCACATAGAGAAGCGCACGGCCAGCCAGGGGCACTGCGCCGACTACACCGCAGCCTGTCTGTTTGCCGGCCACAACGCAGCATGTCTGCTCCACTTTGCTCTAGCCTCTCTCGCTCTGTCTGCTCGTGTCACCACTCCTGGGGTGTGAATGTGTGTGTGTCTTGGAGGGAAGAGGAAACATTGCATGGTTGCCTACAAGGGCTGCTGTAACGGTGTCAAATTCAACTGTACAGTAGTACATTAGTCATGGGACATTTGCTACACTGTTGTGAAACACCCTAGGGCTGAAGTAAGATGATAAGTACGAATGTAAATATAATGGGATGGATCGCTATTTATAGAATACTTAGCAACGGCCTGAAGTAGGCCTATAGGCGCTACGGCGTTTATCGCCCCGCACACATGAAACTCATGAGGCCAATAGAGAACACAATATCTGATAAACAAACAACTATCTTGGACAGGGTAATAAGTATGTAGTCATGGTTCCATCTAGGCCCAAGTGTCTGCTGTGATCAACTGTTTACACTGCACCAGGAGCTAAACAGCATATCTGGAACCATTCAACTGGAGGACATTGGAAATCATTCATTTCAACACTACACTTGTCAGAGGAGCATGCTGAAACCGAACCTAATATTTAGAAATAGTTGTTATAACAGTTCAAATAGTGTGAGTTTAAATCTATCCAGCCTTGTTAGGGTGAGTGTGTGAGATCTATCCCACAGTTAAATCCACATGATTGATTCAGCACTGTAATGACTGATGACTGACCAAAGTTAGCATAATCAAAACTTATCAACATGAACTATGGAGGCCACCAGGATTAATAGTAACCACATAGTATAACCTTACAGGCACTTGGGCATTTTACCACGTGCAGGCTTTCCTTCATTAATTTTGCTTTTGACAATGTTAGGCCGATCCACCCACCTGCAGCACGGAGAGGCTGGTCTGATCTGACAGGCTGAGTTTCTCCTGCTCTGAAGGGTAGGCGTTGTAGCGGTGCTCATACAGCCAGCTCCGCAGCACAGTCACCGCCTCCTTGGGCAGGTTGCCGCGGCGACGCCGCTTGCCTGAGCCCACGCCGCCTCCCGACAGGTCAAGGGGAAAGCCGTCATCCTCGAAGGGGTCGCTGTCGGACATGGCTGACGACAGCTCCTGCGTCTGCTCCTCTTCCAGAGCTGAGGACGGGGAAGGGGAGTCAGTTTGGCAGTGCTAGTGTTTGCATGGTGGACACTGTGCACAGGGTTGGACATTCACTCATTTGTTAAGGAATGTATTGCATTCCCTCCAAAACAGAGATTGACATGATAAGTATCTACTTGTTGTGTAGGCCTATGTTTCTTGTTTGTTCACGTTATTGTACATTCACCGACCTATAAAGAAATAGGTTGGTGAAGTATTGATAAGTATTAGGCACAGTATGATCCATGATTTATGTCAGCAATGTGATTGATTAATGAATCAGGTTACACTGATTGATTGGTAAGTATGGGTGTAGCCCTTGATCATGACTCTCAGTTTCATTACACATAAGAGTCAAAGATGAAGGAGTCTTCTGTAGGGGGAATTTTGTGAAGATCCCAGAATCTCAGTCTAAACATTAACATAACCGTACCTCACATGTATCTTTCATATCAGCGAGAAATAATTTTCAAATAAATAAACAGGTTAAAATGATATGCTTCTAAACGTTAACAGTGTCTGGATTGTAGTTCACATGAGGCTGTCATGGGCGAAGTGAATAGTTGAGAACTGTAGGGAGAAGGCAGAATGCCGCCTAGAGTTTGAGAGAGCTAGTGTGGGTGTAGCAGACAGGTAAGCACAACTTAAAGCATGCATCAATGACAACTTATCATTAAAAGTGAATTGAACAAATACACATTCAAAACAATATCTGTCTTCATTCCCCAAATCACTATTTGTTGCACTGGGGAAGACCAATTCAAAATGGAGCATGCTTTCTCCCTGGGTATAGAATGCAGTAAATGTCTTTCTCTGGTTGAAATCTGACCCCCGGGGGCAGCCTGTCCTCACAAAGGAGATTGTGTGCATATCACTATCTCCAGCGGCGAGCGATCTATAGACCGTGCGAGGGACCATTTTCACCTCTTGCCAGGGGAATTCAGAGCACTGGAGACACTCTTCTCACTTGTTTGTATGCCCAAATTGAATGTGCTTCCAATTGTTTACAGGACGTTAGCGGTTAGCTGCTATAATCTTAAAAACGTTTATTTAAGTGCATGAAAGGGCAAAACTGATAATTGATTATAGCAAACTAAATATGCTAACTACCTAAATTGGTAAACTAGTTATTTGTACTGTCTAAAACACTGGCATGTGAGTGGTTTGAGTTCTGCTGTCAGGGTCCCCTGTAGCTCAGTTGGTAGATCATGGCGCTTGCAACGCCAGGGTTGTGGGTTCGTTTCCCACGGGGGGCCAGTATGAAAAAGGTATGCACTCACTAAGTCGCTCTGGATAAGTGACTAAAATGTAAATATGTCCCTTGAACAGTTTGAAAGTAGCAGCTAACGTTACTAGCTATCCCATTACACAGCTGGTAATGACCTGTAGCTTAGCTAGTAGCTAACAATGAATGCACTCAAGGTGGATCATAAAACGTGGATCATTTGAGCCATCTAACTAAACTAGTTAGTTTGATGAGAGAGGAGGTTAGCTTGAAGTCCGTTAACTTACATGTCACACGCTGTTCCTCTATCAAACCTCAACTTTGTCTACAAAGTAAAGGCCGTTCTCCTTATCTTGGTGGAGCTAATATGATATTTTCTAAATCCTCAATGCGTTAACAAACTTCAAAGGCGTGTGCAGAAATTGAGTTGTTACATTTATTAAAATATTCAAGGCATTGCAGCCAACGTAACTAGTTAGTTAACTAGCTAGCTTTTAAGGCTAGCCGGCTACCAAGCAAACAATGAAGTTCGAATCAGTGATTGTAATTCGGTCTTGTTCCATTCAATCTCGTCTGCCGTGCAGTTAACTAACAATGTTCCAATAAAATCAAATACCTAGCGGAATGTTATCAATTTGCCAAATGCAGAAAATATAGCAAAAATAAGGAAATCCGGTAAATGCTCGAAAAATGAGCAAAGAAAACATTGACTAAGTTTGCTAGCCATCTTCCCATCGTCACGTAGCAAATGTACAAAGAGCCCCTTGAACGCACGCCATAGCGCATGTAGGACTGTTCTGTCGCTCCGCCAGATGGACACCATGCTTGCTTCCAAAGATAACTAGCTGGTTAGCTGTCCCTCCAAATTCAAACAAACACACGCTGCATTTGCTCGCAACAAAAAGCCGCATTCCATTTAAAACCAACAGGCGGGCACACTGGGCAAACCGTCAGACGTGGTCAGGGCAACAATTAATGCCTGGCAATAAAAATAACATGGCTAATTTCTGCCTACCTCGTTTGAAGGGTTTCATTCTTTGTTGATGGCTTGCTGGAAAACACGCAGCTGTCGAAGTTCCTTGTAAAATGCTTGCCCCGGCTAAACGTTGACAAAACGAGGTTTTGTTTCCAAGCGCACAAGGTGTTGCACGCTTTTACTTTGCTTTTCAAGGCTTCAAATATTTTTTCTTGTGACATAAGCGTGCTGTTGTTCTATCGCGTTTCGTTGTCTCGCTAGTAGAACAAATATTTCATAATTTGTGTTGCTCGGTTCCCTTTACCTGCAGACAGCAAAGCCAGCTCTATGCCAATCTGACAGTAGAAAATGGAATGATCCCGCCTCCTGTATCTGCGCAATCCAATCACGGCTCTTTCTTTCCAGTAGACAGGCTCGTGTCATCACTGCTGGGTGACTGACAGGCGAAGCATTTAATTCAAAATCCAGTACAAGATTTGATTGAAGAATGTTGTTTTGTTTCCGACATTATTGAAATTACTCGGTCAGGAAAAATGAACACACACGACCTCTTTTTGCCAACATATTATAGTGTCCAGCAAAACAAGTGGATTTCCTCATGTCGTCGGAATATGTAAATATGCCTTTATTATGTAACCTAAACGATCATGTTTTCTTGTTACATAAATGGGATCAAAAATCTCAACAGAAACAGTGGGCCACGGCCACTAATGGATGTAATAATAAAACAGTACAAAGTCTGGACAATAGAACAGCAAAATCTTCCCAACAACTGCAGGAGAAAGTCGAGGCTTTCTCACCTTGCTCCCATGCACACACATCCTCTTTCATATGCAGCAATTTACTCTACGTGCTGTACGCGGGGCTGCCTCTGACTCTCATGTCAGGCAGTATTATTTTTTCTTTATTTTTTTTGTCTCGCACGTAGGTAGGAATTTGCATAATGTGACAATACAATGTGACAAGACTGTGTACAGCCACTGGTATGAAAGACTAACCAAATGAGGCACTAGACAGACTACAATCTGTAGATTGTCTAGATTAGATTATAGACTAGCCTATATAGCCTAGTCTAGATTATAATAATCCCATTACTCACTATAGTAAAATAATCTCTGACACCCATCAACCCGATAGAGGATGAACAAAATAACCATTGCGAACGTTTTGAGAAAGTATTGTGTGCATTTTATTGAATGATATTCTCTCTTCATTGTACAGTACATAGTTGAACAAATGAGCTCATTGTAGTTGTATAAATAAATCTACAGCATTGTAAAAGATGGAGTGGTTCTCTGCATTCAGATTTCATTCTTATTTACAACAGAATGTGATTTTGATTAGCACATGGGGAATTACTAGCTGGTCCCAGATCTGTTTGTGCTGCGTGAGAATGAACATTTAAATTGGCAAGCCAAGACACAGCATGAACAGATCTGGCACCAGGCTATGGAATTACTTTATCATAAAATGTTAATCTTAACATGTACCAATTTTACTTAATTAATTTAGTATTCCACAATATGCTTTAATGTTACCAGAGTAGATATAAATACAGGAATCATAGTAAATCTCATTTTATGAACAAAACATCCACATTTTATCTCTACCCTTTACACTAAACCGAAACCCTGACATACACAGCCTAACTTGTATAACATTATCAATATTGAACAAATCCTAGTCAATAAAATATGTGCTTGTTTCATAAAATATGTCATTATTGTTTGTTATAGTCTATTATTTTTTGCTACATATCTCTTCTGCTAAGAGTGTTGGTTCTACCACACTCCCAACCCTTGTAGGCCAAGGGTACAAAGCAAAGTGCGCAGACAATTCAGGAGGGGGCTTATTTTTGCTTAGTAGGCCTTTGAACACAAGCGCCAGGGTAGTGGGTTCGATCCCCGGGACCACCCATACGTAAAAATGTATGCGCACATGACTGTATGACTGTAAGTCGCTTTGGATAAAAGCGTCTGCTAAATGGCATATTATTATTCGATTCCCACGGGGGGGCAGTATGAAAAATGTATGCACTCACTAACTGTAAGTCACTCTGGATAAGAGCGTCTGCTAAATGACTAAAATGTAAATGTACTCTTACCCTGGGTTACCCTTTCCGGGCATGCTGTGACCCAACAACCCCTCAAAAGTCTTGTTTAAGCCTAGCGTTGAGAGTAATGTACTGTAAATCAGTTCAAAGTGACTTCAGTCTCACATAAATTAGTTTGTTCTTAGTTTGCTGTATTGTCCAAGCAAGTATGGGAAGTGTCCACCACGACAGTCATGTCCTCTAGAAGTTTGAAATTGTCCAAAAATATACAGGAAATGTTTCGCCGTCACAATTCCATAGTGAACACATCCAAAAAATATAGTTTCCTCCCCTAATATTTCACACTTACTAACAGCACAGATGAGTTGGCTCAAAACAGGTGCAGTGAAAAGTCATTAAAATAAACCCTACTGAAGTATAGGGAGCTACGGTGTGAAAGGCGAACAGCACCACTAAATTAAGAGGAACCGGACCATGGCCACACTTTACACAAGTCTTCCAAATACAAGAGCTGTGAATTATAAGACAGTCTAAAACGTCTCTTCCTTGTCAGGTTTGCTACAAATGCATTGTTTGGTAGGCCTACAACGCATAAGTATATCAAGTGAATACTTAATGCGTAGAAACAACATGGCTAAATGCAGTTTCATAGAACACATTAAGTCAATATACTGTACACACACTGTGTAATCCACACCAAAGGGACCATGATGAAGTCCCGTGTAGCTCAGTTGGTAAAGCATGGCGTTTGCAACGCCAGGGTTGTGGGTTCGATTCCCACGGGGCACCAGTATGAAAATGTATGCACTCACTAAAAACTGTAAATCGCTCTGGATAAGAGCGTCTGCTAAATTACTAAAATGTAAGTTGTTGAAACTTGGAAGGTGAATAAATAGCCTTGTAATTTTAGGCAAATGCAACACTATGTGAATGCATAAACCAATTCAATGCTCTTGGGCTACAACAACAAAATGAAGGGGTACTGTATGCATGTCACTATGGTTTTAAAACACCTTAACACTGTGCCATAGGATATGAGCTTGAAATAGGCCTCGGTGTGGCCCTCTGGTTTGTGTATTGGAGCAGGGCCTTGTTAAATGTATGAGAGGAGCCCCTTTGCTTCCCATAGTCTCTCAGTGACAGACAGTTGCTGTCATTTAAGTATTCATGTCTTTGCAGATTAGAGTCTTGACACACCTCTCTCTCTCACCATATGCATATTAAATTATTTAAATTCCAGTCAGGCACAGACTCAAATCAAAATACAGCTGGTGGGGTCAACCGATCTCTGCCGCCTTTCGTCTGAAGCTAAGCAGGATTGGGCCTGGTTAGTGCTTCAATGGGAGACCACCTGGGAACAGCCACTGTCTGGGAGTGTTTTTTGAGGGCCAGAAGGGGACCACCAATGCCCCAGTGTGGTGATGGGGACATCCAATGTTATCAATATGGATACAGTCTGCTTTTCAACTGTTACACTAGTGTATATACCCTTATGTTATACTAGGGAAATTGTTTCCCTAGCTAGGGCTAACAGTGAGGACTTGTGAAGAGCAGAATCAACATCCTCTGCATAATCAAAACAGATGCTTTGTGAGAAGGTGTTAAATTCCACAGTTAGTCATTGTTATGTAAATGACAGCTAAAAAGTACCAGTGGCCTGGCTTTGGCCCCAAGTGAGAGCAGGTCCGCCGGAGCCATGGCCCAGTGAGACACAGGTGCTGGCCCGCGTAGATGGAAACAGAAAAGTATTTGCCTTTTGGGTAAAACACTGAGGTAAATCCTGTATAGAAATGACATTATTTTCTCCATAACCATCACTCTTTTAACTCCATAGATGTAAATTATATTTTTGCAATCTAGCGGGAATCCTATATATTGTTACAAAATAGCATGTCCCCAATGTTATTACAGATTGTGTCCAAATCCTAGTACATGTCATTGGACTACAAGAACATCAGAAAATAGTTAGGACTGTTCCAGTAGAAACTAGGTTGTTCACAACAGCAAATCAAGAACACAAAATGACAGACACAGTCACACAAACCCCCTCCTTGGTAAAGGATCAAACCAACGACAGGCCACTGTCACACAAAGCCTGGAGGCGCTAACGATTGGACCCATGCTCAAATGGAGGAGCATTCAGATGACTCATTCAGAGAGGGACCAGAGCCATTGACACCCCACCATCTACTAAGCAGAGCAAAGGGGCCATCAGCAGCGTAGGCAAACACACAACAGCAAACAATAGCCTGCAATTAAGAGAGACCTCTTCCCAGGAGGGAGAGGATGATGTCCAATACAGCCAGGCCTTTCCAATGCAAAGCCTCAAGCTCACTGTGGTGGTGTGGGGGAATACAAAAGAGACATGGAGCAACTAGCTAACAAGAAACCCGGCAAATGGTTGAGCAAAAGTGAATGTCCTTTTTATTCAAGTGAACACATAGTTTGTGGCCCATGCAGAGACCCTGGTGTTGCAAGCACCATCTTCCAAACAACTGAGCCATTGTAACAACATAAGAACCACTAATTGATTAGCAGGGAAAGGTAGTGTTTGTTTGCTGGCCATTTGGTGCAGCACAACAAATGTGGGGGGACAAGGAGAAGAAATGTAAAGAAAACAAATTACGCTCAGATGAACTGGGGTAAATTGGTGAAGCAATGAGAACCCAGGGATTATTTTGTGAATAACTCAACTAACCATGTGGGGGAATTGCAAAACTGACCCAAGATCAGCGTCTAGGGTCAACTTCACCCTACACCACTTTGGACAATCAAATACCTACAGTGAGACATGTCAAACTTACTTGATCTCTCAACCCCAGATAGAGAATATGTTGTGATCATTTGACAAACTTAATCTAACGTTTTGTTAACTTTTTCTCCCAAATTTCGTGATATCCTATTGGTAGTTACAGTCTTGTCCCATCGCTACAACTCCCATATGGACTTGGGAGAGGCGAAGGTCGAGAGCCATGCATCCTCCGAAACACGATCCTGCCAAGCCGCACTGCTTCTTGACACACCGCTCGCTTAACCCGGAAGCCAGCTGCACCAATGTGTCGGAGGAAACACCGTCCAGCTGGCGAACGAAGTCAGCTTGCAGGCGCCCGGCCCGCCACAAGGAGTCGCTAGAACGTGATGGGTCAAGGACATCCTGGCCAGCCAAACCCTTCCCTAACCCGGACGATGCTGGACCAATTGTGTGCCGCCTGGGATCGATCCCGGGTCCGTAGTGACCTTAGACGGGTGGCCCCCATTCCACTTTTACAGGCATCTTAAAAGAGTGAATCCGCGTTGATATAGCTATACTTACTTCCCATAGAGGCACAATGGTAATTTATAATTTTTTTGTACCAACAACAGCATTTTCAAAAACAAAGGATGGCAAACAAATGACATATATGTAATGTAATAGATATTTAATGATTTGTCTCAATTTAAAAAAGTGTAGGTATTTGGGGATGATATTTAACAAGGCAGCAATATGACAGGGTGCTTGGTTTAACAAATAAAAACAACAATGTGTTTCGTCTTCATTCAAGGATGATATCCTTTCCTCCAAAAGCATCATGGACAATTGAGATGTAGTGCAAAATATTACCAGTAGGGGGGATAAGATAACAACTTCCAACATGGCTTCACAAAGTGTTACTGAAGCATCTCAATAGTCAGACAGGTTTTCCTCTCCTAGACTCTTTTCTTGTCTCCTTTCCTTTCTCTAGCCATCTCTTTTGAAGAGGGTGTCTGGTCAGGATCCATGATGTGGAAAAATACATTACATTTACATGATTTTAGTCATTTAGCAGACACTCTTATCCAGAGCAACTTACAGGAGTAATTAGGCTTAAGTGCCTTGCTAAAGGGCACATTGACATATTTTTCACCTAGTTGGCTTGGGGATTCAAACCAGCGACCATTCGCTCGGCTACCTGCCGCCCCATACAGTAGCAAATATCTACAGTAGCACTGAATATTCAGAGTATTGTATCAATAACAAATTCCCATTGCCGAGTGCAGTGTGGAGAGTAGTTACCTACAATACTGTCATTTAGCGGCCATTAGTCAAAGTTAATTGATGCTTAACCACAAGTCCATATTGGGCTTAATTCCTTTTAAATTCTCTATAGGAGGGCAATTCAAATCATGGTTGGAGTGACTGGAATTTCACAGTGGAATGGACCACATGTTTTTCAACGTATATATTGAGTCCCATGTGGGAAACGCACCTGCATCTGTGCCAACTCATTTACTCATTTACAGTGACGACAAAACACCAAAGGTGTGCTGGGGCAGAAGTTGGTGGAAATAAACCCCTCTAACCTTTCATTCCTGTGATATTGCTGCTGCTGCAACCAAGCTTGAGTTGCTGGAAGTACCTACTTTAAAAACCTACTGGCTTTTTAAATGTTCAATGAAATAACCACAATGATGCAACATCATTCCGCTGGTAAAGTATCTTGAAACAACGAGGAAACAATGCAGACTTAAACACATTTTGCCCAGTGGGATTGTTCTCAATGGTGGTCCTGGTCCTTCACTCTCCCCTGAATTATGTTCAATTGCTCTGATATACCCACACCATGGTATTATTCATTAGGGCACACCTTTAGAAAAGGTGAAACTGATTATTCAAGTAGTACCCCCCCGTTTGGTGCTTGATGAATATGACCTAGAAATAAATTCACAAAGCAATACAAAGACATGAAAGTACAAAGCGTGGCCATTGTCATGGGACTGTGGACATTGGCTGATGAATACATCCTAAAACCAAAATGGCAGAAAACAATATAATCTCAATGGAAAAGTAGGATATTCAAATGACATTCCAGTAAATATTGACGTGTGAGTGTGTTTTGAGTCAGTTAAAAAGTACCTAAAATTGTATATATTTTTAAAAATCATATGCCTTTTTAAAAAACAAAAAATGAACTAAGGAAACATCAATTGTGCTTTCAATAGATCTCACTTATACAAGTGGTGATATTTGACATTAAAATACCCCAATCCCCTATTTCCCCCTTAGTTTTTGGTTCCCTGCTCTCCAAAACCACTTAAGAATCTAGAAATGCTTTCAATGCAGGCAAAGGGCTCTTACAAAACAAATAAAAACAAACAAAAAAGCACCAGGAAGACATAGATAGCTGAGGATCTGAAACATGTGAGTGTGCTTGTGTGTGCTCCTCTGAGTACGTGTGTGTACATTAAACCACATGGTGGCGTTGTGCAAACTACGGGTTGGCCAAGGCATGGGAGAGTGAGGGAGGGAGTCAGGGAGGGGCGTAGGAAAGCACAAATGCTTACTCTGTCCGCTTTTTAGATTTGTTACAGCCAAGATACAGGTACATCGAAAACAGTCTTGATATAGTTTCTTTAGGAGATAATAATATCATCATCAATAACCATTTTTATAATTTTCGTAATAATCAAGAGTACTAACAATAGTAACAAAGTTTGTGGTTGAGGTTTTTCCATGGCACCCTCGTGAAAGGAGACGAGAGTTCCCCATATAGTCTACAGCCCAAAAGTTTTTATTTTCTTGTTTCCTCTCTTTCTCACTTAATCTAGATGTGCTGCCACCAGGACCAGCCTACCCTGTGTGTGTATGGAGAGAAGACCCCAACCCTCCCTCCCTCCCTCCCTCCCTCCATCCATCCATCTCAGAGGCAGTTCCTCCTATCTCCTCCCTCCACCCCCCTCTCTCTCTCTCAGAGACGTGTTTGGGCCTCTGGGACGTAGATCTCGATACTGTCAGCGCTCTCCGTGGCTGAGTTCTGCCGAACCGAGGCGGCCCTCTTGGCGGCCAGCAGGCGCTTGCGGGCTTCTGTCCGGTGCTTCTCCGCCGAAGAGGTGGAAGAGGCGGAGTCGGCGCTCTTCTCACGGCCCAGCATCGGCCTCCCCTTAACAGGCTTCTTTGGCACTGGAGGAGGGGGCTCTTTCTGGTCCTCCTGGTTGTGGTGGTGAGCCGCAATGGATGGAGTTAACCACAAAGGGACAGAAGAGACGGGGGGGGGGGGGGGGGGGGGGGGTTGAGGGCGGAGAGATGAGAGAGTGAGAGGCGTTGTTGCTGTTAAAAGATAACCTTTTTTTGTTGATGAACTGAAAGCAGTATCCCCCCACTAAAGATTATAGGACTTTAGGACCAAATCACTTCTGAAGTTTTGTGCTTGTATGTTCATTCATGGTCAAATATGGCTTTTTTTTAGGTTTCCTGAAAAGTTTCAGTTTTTGAGATACAAGGTTTTCTTCCAAAAGCAACGAAGCAACGAAAGGTAATACAGAGGTTATAAAAAATAGCCTAGTGAGTTTCATTTGGTAGACATGGATCTTTGACAGTGACGTTTTGATTATGGTTTCTACAAAAAATGTACAAGGTGGTTGGCTTGACACATTATATGGACAATCTAGACAAAATACGGACAGGATAGACATAATATGGACAGTATAGCCAAATATAGGACATTGATGGCAACTCTTTCTTGGACTAGACACTGAATTCATATTGCATCCCTGAATCCCAAACCAACAATAACCTCTTCTCAAATATACCTAGTGCCTAAGTAGGTAGAGGCTAGAGGTTGGTTTGGTACTCAAATAATGCATTTTATGATGAGGACATTGGATGAACCACATTTAATCCAATGCAGAATCACTGCAGTCATAGTGAAATAGCGGCATGAAGTCAAAGTAGTTGAAGCACAGATCCACCGAAACATAGTACTTTACTCAATCTACCACGCATCATACCAACTAATCACCCCGCTACAACCCCCACACGCATCATACCACCTAATCACCCCCCTACCATCCTTACACGCATCATACCAACTGTTCACCCCCCCTACTATCCCCACACGTATCATACCAACTAATCACCCCCCTACCAATCCCACACGCATCATACAAACTAATCATCCCCCTACTACCCCCACACACATCATACCACCTAATCACCCCCCTACCACTCCCACACGCATCATACCACCTAATCACCCCCCTACCACTCCCACACGCATCATACCACCTAATCACCCCCCTACCACTCCCACACGCATCATACCACCTAATCATCCCCCTACCACTGCCACACACATCATACCACCTAATCACCCCCCTACCACTCCCACACGCATCATACCACCTAATCACCCCCCTACCACTCCCACACGCATCATACCACCTAATCATCCCCCTACCACTGCCACACGCATCATACCACCTAATCACCCCCCTACCACTCCCACACGCATCATACCACTTAATCACCCCCCTACCACTCCCACTCCCACACGCATCATACCACCTAATCATCCCCCTACCACTCCCACACGCATCATACCACCTAATCATCCCCCTACCACTCCCACACGCATCATACCACCTAATCATCCCCCTACCACTCCCACACGCATCATACCACCTAATCACCCCCCTACCACTGCCACACGCATCATACCAACTAATCACCCCCCTACCACCCCCACACGCACAGTGTCGCACACAGAGAGACAGATAACGACAGACACACACACACACAACCAGGTGATGGGAGTTCTTTACTAATTAGATACTTTAATTCATCAATCAAGTACAAGGGAGGAGCGAAAATCCGTAGACACTGGGACCTCCGTGGAATGAGTTTGACACGTGCCTTAACATAACCCTAAACCCAAACCCTAATTCTAACCTTCACCCCAATTGTAACTCTAACCCTATGCCTAAAATAGCCTTTTTCCTTGTGGGGACCAGCCATATGTCCCCTCTTGTCCGACTTTTCCTTCTGGTCCCCACAAGGATAGTAAAACCAAACACATACACACACACATGCCCAGGAGAGAGCGGAAAGCCAGGCCACATTCCATGACGTGATGCAGCTCTGCCATTACCATGCTTGAGACATCAGATCAGAGCATGTCTTGTACCCCGACATGCATTCTCAAAGGAGGGGCTTAAACCGCAGAAACAGTCATAAACAAACTGCCCTCTTTGAGATTGAGCCCCATGCATGTGTAAAGGGACTTGTCTTTTCTCTAGCCCCTTTACATTTGGCTGGTTCATTTCACACAGGGAGGGGGGAAGTGAGAGGGGAGGTGGGGAGGGAGGAGAGAGGCCGGTTTCGGCGGCTTTCCTACCCCAGCCTGGGCACTGGGCAGCAGGGGTGGGAAGTACCTTCCGCTCGGGGGGCGAGTGGGCCACGGCAGGGGGCTGCCAGTCGCTGGACTTGAGGTGGTAGAGCTCGTCAAACTTGAGGCTGATGTCCTCGATGGAGAGCTGCAGCAGGTCCCAGAAGCCTGCCAGGTCCTGGGCTGTGGGCCGCAGGTTGGCGTTCACATTCTGAAGGGAGAGAGAAAGGATAAAATGGGGGAGAAAGAGGGATGTGGGAAAGTGGAAGAAAAGAAAGAAATAGTGAAGAAGAGAGAGGATGTAAGAAGGGCAGAGAGGAATAGGGAGGGAGAAAAGGAGAGAAGGATAAAGGGCAGATTTGAAATTAATTCAGTGTTGCTTTGCCCACTTTTGACACTAGAGGGAGCTGTCCTACAACACAATGACAGAAGACCTCTTGTCAAACTGAATAGTTGAATTCCATCTGACTTTTTCTGGGTAAATACTGTGTTTCTGTGTATGTATTCTGTTGGAAGGTGTGGATGTTGATGTTACTGTATTGTCATTTAATGTATGCCTATAAAAACTGTATACTGCTGTATTGGGACTATTCCTAGATGTTTTCCCCTGCTTGATGAAGTATAAATACTTAATAAATAAAAAGCAATAGAAAGGTGGACTGACCACTTCACATAAACCGTAGGAAATTGGGAGGCACTCGGTTTTGCCTTATCTCCTTTTAAAGTGTGTAAACTAAGTCAGTCAGAGCAGATGGATGGGTTGACGTTCACACTTCGACTTGTTCTCTTTCAGTCGACTCAGTGCGACATCTCATTATGGGACACGCCCTCTCTTGCATTCCCCATAGTGAGATATCTCCTTCATTTTCTTCAGAGAACTGGGGTTCCATACCATTTTTTCACCTGACTCACTCATTATGTTACTAAAGCTCTTTAGTATGGTTGGGTCTGCTTGTGTTTCTTGCCCACACAGCATCTTTGCAGCTGCAACTAGACTGGGGTTTGAGCCCCTATCCACAGCCTTTTGGCTCAACTCGCCTCCTTGTTTCTATCATGCTAATTCTGCTGTCAGGATCGTCAGATAGGAGACCATTCTCTTTGTGTGGGATTTCAAAAAACACAACAAAAGATGGTAGAACTAGCATGAAAAAAGCTGAAACTGTCTTCAGCTGAAAAGGAAAACAATCTTGTTTCTGATAAACATTTCTCCTGTGTAATGATAGGAAAAGCATCCAATAGAAAATTGTCCATAAATAAATACAAAATATTGGGAAAAAACATTTATATTGTCAAACTCCTTATGAAATGGTACAGTGGTTCCACTTATTCTGGATCTGGGTGCCTTTTCATAGAATTATATCAGGATTGCACATAATTTCACAATTAATCCCTAGCCCAAAGGTTCACTACACAACCATTAATGCAAAACATGAGTTCAATAATATGGCTGCATTAAAACAGACTCCTATTATAACCGACTCATTGAACACAATCAGTACCCCTTGCTACTCTAATACTTACACTGAACTTTATGACGAGATGATCAATATTCATAAAAACTGCATTAACAATCATAGATTGTTGGTCCTCTTTCTGAATAACTGCTAGTCTATCTCTAATTTCAGAGAACATAATACATTCCAAAAATGATGACACTGAATTTCCACTGAGAATAGCTAACAGTCAGAGAATGCTACAAACAAAATGTAGCCGTTTGCAAACCGTCAACCTGAGGTTATTCGTATCCTAATAATTGGGGACGTCATAGTCTGAGTACCCTGTACTAAGATCAGTGGAGTGACGTGATACAGAGAGACATGTCCACGCAGCATCACATTAGTGGAAATCAAGACTGTTCTCCGGGCAGGCCTGGTTGTAGCAAGATAAGTTTGCGTCGTGTCTGGGACAATTTTAGCATTTTAGCTAAACCTAAACCTTCTCCTAAACTGCCACATTAATTCTCCTAACCTGCCACGTTAATTCTCCTAACCTGCTGCGCAATTTCTCCTAACCTGCTATAAAAAGTCACTTCTCCTAGTCAAAACCGGCAGACCTGCCCTGAGAACCATACAGCCATGTCCACTATTTATGATAGTTTATCCACTCAGGTCTGGAAAAAGTCCCATCAATCACTTCTCCATTGACCTTACTGTCTGTTTGCATTCAGCATGTCACTTAGCTCAGTGTCTTTCCATTTAGCATGTGTTGGCTAGTGATGTGATGATGTGTGCCCAGGGACTGTGGTCAAAAATCAGCCGGCCAAAACCAGCACTTTTACAGAATTTATTAACTACGTTTACATTAATTAAATTAATGAATGTGCACTGTCCATGTAAAAATAAATGTAACAAAGTAAAGTAGGGATCCTTCTAGGGATCCTGAGTGGCTCAGCGGTCAAAGGCACTGCATCACAGTGCTAGAGGTGTTACTACAGACCCGGGTTCAATCCCAGGCTGTATCACAACTGGCCATGGTCGGGAGTCCCATAGGGAGGCACACAATTGGCCCAGATAAATAAAGATAAAACAATATATATAAAGTAAAGCAGGATGTAGGATGGATGGGTTGATTATCACCATGTTCATTATTTGATTATCTGGTAATGTAAGTGTGTGGGGTTGATTATCTGGTAATGTAAGGGGTTTCTGGTAATGTACAGTGCATTCGGAAAGTATTCAGACCCCTTGACTTTTCCAAATTTTGTTACGTTACAGCCTTATTCTAAAATGGATAAAATAGTTTTTTTCCTCATCAATCTACACACAATACCCCATAATGAGAAAGCAAAAACAGGTTTTTAGAATTTTTTGCAAATCTATTAAAATTAAAAAATACATTTAAAATAAAAGACTGAAATATCACATTTGCATAAGTATTCAGACCCTTTCCTCAGTATTTTGTTGAAGCACCTTTGGCAGCGATTACAGCCTCGAGTCTTCTTGGGTATGACGCTAGAAGCTTGGCACACCTGTATTTGGGGAGTTACTCCCATTCTTCTCTATAGATCCTCTCAAGCTCTGTCAGGTTGGATGGGGAGCGTCGCTGCACAGCTATTTTCAGGTCTCTCCAGAGATGTTCGATCGGGTTCAAGTCCGGGCTCTGGCTGGGCTACTCAAGGACATTCATAGACTTGTCACGAAGCCACTCCTGCGTTGTCTTGGCTGTGTGCTTAGGGTCATTGTCTTGTTGGAAGATGAACCTTCGTCCCAGTCTGAGGTCCTTCGTACTCTGGAGCAGGTTTTCATCAAGGATCTCTATGTACTTTGCTCCGTTCATCTTTGCCTCGATCCTGATTAGTCTCCAAGTCCCTGCCACTGAAAAACATCCCCACAGCATGGTGCTGCCACCACCACGCTTCACCATAGGGATGGTGCCAGGTTTCCTCCAGATGTGACGCTTGGCATTCAGGCCAAAGATTTCAATCTTGGTTTCATCAGACCAGAGAATCTTGTTTTAGGTGCCTTTTGGCAAACTCCAAGTGGGCTGTCATGTGCCTTTTACTGAGGAGTGGCTTCTGTCTGGCCACTACCATAAAGGCCTGATTGGTGGAGTGCTGCAGAGATGGTTGTCCTTCTGGAAGGTTCTCCCATCTCCACAGAGTAACTCTGGCGCTCTGTCAGAGTGACCATTGGGTTCTTGGTCACCTCCCTGACCAAGGCCTTTCTCCCCTGATTGCTCAGTTTGGCCGGGCGGCCAGCTCTAGGAAGAGTCTTGGTGGTTCCAAACTTCTTCCATTTAAGAACGATGCAGGCCACTGTGTTCTTGGGGACCTTCAATGATGCAGACATTTTTTGGTACCCTTCCCCAGATCTGTGCCTCGACACAATACTGTCTCTGAGCTCTACATGTGGGACCTTATATAGACAGGTGTGTGCCTTTCCAAATCATGTCCAATCAATTGAATTTACCACAAGTGGACTCCAGTCAAGTTGTAGAAACATCTCAAGGATGATCAATGGAAACAGGATGCACCTGAGCTCAATTTCAAGTCTCATAGCAAAGGGTCTGAATACTTATGTAAATAAGGTATTTCCGTTTTTTATTTTTAATACATTTGCAAACATTTCTACTTTTTCACTTTGTCATTATAGGGTATTCTGTGTAGATTGCTGAGGAGTATTATTTTTAAAATCCATTTTAGAATAATGCTGTAACGTAACAAAATGTGGAAAAAGTCAAGGGGTCTGAATACTTTCTGAATGCACTGTAAGTATGTGGGGTTGATTATCTGGTAATGTAAGGGGTTTTCAGGTAATGTAAGTATGTGGGGTTGATTATCTGGTAATGTAAGGGGTTTTCTGGTAATGTAAGTATGTGGGGTTTATTATCTGGTAATGTAAGGTGTTTTCAGGTAATGTAAGTATGTGGGGTTAATTATCTGGTAATGTAAGGGCTTTTCTGGTAATGTAAGGGCTTTTCTGGTAATGTAAGTATGCAGGGTTGATTATCTGGTAATGTAAGGGTGTTGGGTTGGGGTAACTTTTGTTATGTCTGGTTATTTGATGTGTGTATAGAGTATGTAATAGTATAGTTTTGTCTGGTGATATGATGGTGTTGTTGTGGGGTAGTATTGTTTTGTCTGGTTATGTGATGGTGTTGTGGTGGGGTAGTATTGTTTTGTCTGGTGATGTGATGGTGTTTTGGTGGGGTAGTGTTGTTTTGTCTGGTGATGTGTGTATGGGTGAGTTGTAATATGGAGAGTTGATCCTTACCAAGTTTTGTTCACACAGTCCTCTGAACTGCTCAAATTTCTTGGTCATGAGGAGCTGAGCACTGCCCACTGCACTGCGGACCTTCCCCAACACTGCAGATAACAGGAATACATACAAATTGAGTCATACTGACACACACGTGCACAGACAGAAAGACAGACAGGCAGGTAGACAGGCAGTCGGGCAGACAGACACTCACACACACACTTTGTTGGGGCATTGGGAATGCAATGCCAATCAACAGAGCGTGTCAAGGAGTGTCTCTCGTTGTTCCATTTAGGAACAAAACTCTAACCTAATGCTTATAAACTTTCCTCATAGCAACTGACGTGTATCTGGTCTTCCGATACATCAATTTCAGGACATTCTCAAAAACAAGACTGTTCTGCTACGTAGTGAGAGTCAAGAAATACCTAGGTGTCTGGTTAGACTGTAAACTCTCCTTCCAGACTCACATTAAGCATCTCCAATCCAAAGTGAAATCTAGAATCGGCTTCCTATTTCGCAATTAAGCCTCCTTCACTCATGCTGCCAAACATGCCCTCGTAAAACTGACTATCCTACCGATCCTTGACTTCGGCGATGTCATTTACAAAATAGCCTCCAACACTCTACTCAGCAAATTGGATGTAGTCTATCACAGTGCCATCCGTTTTGTCTCCAAAGCCCCATACACTACCCACCACTGTGACCTGTACGCTCTTGTTGGCTGGTCCTCACTACATGTTCGTCGTCAAACCCACTGGCTCCAGGCCATCTATAAACCACTGCTAGGCAAATCCCCGCCTTAACTTAGCTCATTGGTCACCATAGCAACACCCACCCGTAGTATGCGCTCCAGCAGGTATATCACACTGGTCATCCCCAAAGCCAACACCTCCTTTGGCTGCCATTCCTTCCAGTTCTCTGCTGACAATGACTGGAACGAACTGCAAAAATCTCTGAAGCTGGAGATTCTTATCTCCCTCACTAACTTTAAGCATCAGTTGTCAGAGCACCTTACCGATCACTGCACCTGTACACAGCCCATCTGAAATTAGCCCACCCTACTACCTCATCCCCATATTGTTATTTATTTTGCTCATTTGCACCCCAGTATCTCTATTTGCACATAATCTTTTGCACATCTATCATTCCAGTGTTAATACTAATTGTTGTTATTTTGCACTATGGCCTATTTATTGCCTTACCTCCATAACTTGCTACATTCGTACACACTATATATATATTTTCTGTTGTATTTTTGACTGTACGTTTTGTTTACCCCATATGTAACTCTGTGTTGTTGTTTTTAATCGCACTGCTTTGCTTTATCTTGGCCAGGTCGCAGTTGTAAATGAGAACTTGTTCTCAACTGGCTTACCTGGTTAAATAAAGGTTAAATAAATGAAAAAATAAAAAAATAAAAAGCACCTTTTTGAGCGCAGACTCCACGCTAAAAGGTCACTAGTCCCGAGAAAGTATGGGTTTAGAACACTACCACCTTAAGAGAGGAGATTGTCTCTACACACTTCCCCCTATCTGTACAACTAAACTGACATCTAGACTGCACACAAGGACATCTGTGAAAAGGATTTGAGTCACAGGGAGGCAAGATGATTTGTGAGGGAGAAAAACCTCAGCCTGTTCAAACAGGAACATCACATTAATGAAGCAAACCATCCCAGCAACGTTCCCAAACAAACCCAAGCAAATATGTGGTGTCTAGACTAGAGATGGACGTTAAGGCTTTTCCAATATTGTCAAAACGACTACATGGGGGCCACCCAAGAGGATTACAGTGTAATGGACAGTGTTATCCTCTTTAAAGGCAGCACTCTAAGCCTCCAAAGATACCAGGGCGGTGACGATACCAGTATCTCAATATTTTTTACACTGGTGCTTTAAAAACCTGCTGTATGTAAAATATTGTGTGCTATAGCTTGGAAAATAAATAAATGTGACTCTGTATGACAACATAATGATGTTTGTTTCCAACATTGGGCTGTTTTTCTAAAGAAGTTCAATCTGCTTCGTGTTTTGTTTCCTTGCCAATATATTAACGAGTATCGCAATACTGGCATCGTCCCTTCTTCATCCAGTATTTATGACTTTAGTCTCTGGTTTTAGTGCTGCATCAAAACGGACAAACATTTGTGTTGGTGAAATTGATTTAAAAAAAATACGACCACTGGATGATGAGGTTATGGCAATGAGATTAGGGGGCCAGCAGAACCAGGTGTTTCTATGGTCCTGCAGTAATGAGATTCAATGTCAACTCTATCGTGCTAACAGTGAGAGAAATGCATGCGCGAGCACACACACTGCACACGCGCAGATACACACACTGACACAAAATGACCTTTGCTTTTTCTTAGTTTGGTCAAGATATTCTGATATAGTATGCATGCTTGACTGAGATTTTGTGTTAGGACTGTGCAGTGTGTGTGTGTGTGTGTGTTTCATTTCACCCTGATGTTGAGGCACTAATCTAATCTGGGTCTGTAATCAGGTCCAGAGTACATTAGTATAATTCTGGAATTAGAGGTCTGTCTGTGTGTTAACCCCAGGTATTACCGCCTCATCCACTGCAGAGTGTGTGTGTGTGTGTGTTGTGGTTGAACCCTAGCCAGGCTTTGAGCCATTGGGTCAGGTCAGATCAGGTCATCAGGTCAGACCACTTTGTAGATCAATCCACTGCCATGATGTGGATGGTGGGGCTATATACAAAAGTGTGTTTTACCCTCCTCTGAGAGCTGGTTGTCTTTGGTCTCCTGCTCCATCTGCTGGCACCAGCCCTCCATGCGGCCCGTCTCTGCCTGCAGCAGCTTGAGGAACCAGTGGCCGTCCCGCCGGCAAGCAGGGCCTGGAAGGGGCACCGCGTTAGGGTTCCCACTGCCCCCATTCCCATTCCCGTTCCCACTCTCCAGCCAGGGGTCCGGAGGGGGCAGGAACGAGGGGTCCAGGGCCGGGTCCAGGCTCTCGGCGAAGGAGTCGGAGGAGGACCGTGTGGTGGAGCGGTTGAGGAACTGCCGTAGTGGAGGTGGAGACGTACTGGTGGGATTTGATCCGTTGCCTTGGCTGACCTGCCCGTCAAACGGGGGAGAGTCCATGGATTGGCAGGCGTTGTTGACCATGCTCTTCTTCTCGGGGACGGGCTTGGCGTGGGAGATGACCGGGAGGTCCTGTGTGTCTGAGTCTGTCTCCTGCTTGGAGGCCATGCTACTGGAGTGACTGAACCTGAAAACACACACACACACAAAAGTGACACAGGAGAAAGTGGTCAATGCTCATTCAATAACAATGGTGAAAACGGACAATACATCTCTAATAATGTTATTCTGTCAAGACAATGCAATATATATTATTGTTAGACTAATATGGATAAGTAAACTTCAAGAACCAGAATGTGCCTGCACCCTAACACCAACCTCAACCTAAAGCCAACCAAAGTCAAACCAACCCCGACTGCTTCTGTAAGTGAAAAAAACATCACATTTGTTATTCTTGTGAGTAAAAACAAAGACATGGGGAAAAATTATGACCAAGCCTTTTCCTGCTACAAAACAAACCAAGCAATGTTCTCAACGCCAGACACTTCATCCTGAACTGATCAATACAGGTATAACACACAGAACCTAGACTAGACCATAGAGATGGATAGAGGGTATACCACACAATTAACTACTTTAAAAAATTGCGTTACACATGGTATCACTGTCTTTTGTGGCAAGTTCGACCTCTATTCATCTCAATGACTCATTACATGTATGGGGAAAGGGCTTGGCTGGGGAACGGGCAGTTCGCACAAACCCTGACCATCGTCTGACCATGGCTACGATCCTGCTTTCCCATTCAAGTGATAGAACAGAAAACGCCAAAACGAGGGGAATAGACGTAAATCTGTGGAAAATACTATGGATACTTAGAAGTCTGAATATTAATGGTTAATAGGATAATAATCAATTATAATAATAGGGGGATAAGGGACATACAGTGCGTTCGGAAAGTATTCAGACCCCTTGACTTTTTCCACTTTTTGTTACGTTACAGCCTTATTCTAAAATAGATTAAATTGTTTTTTCCACCCTCATCAATCTACACACAATACCCCATAATGACAAAGCAAAAACAGGTTTTTAAAAATGTTTGCAAATTTATTAAAAATAAAAGACTGAAAAATCAAATGTACATAAGTATTCAGACCCTTTACACAGTACTTTGTTGAAGCACCTTTGTCAGCGATTACAGCCTTGAGTCTTCTTGGGTATGACGCTACAAGCTTGGCACACCTGTATTTGGGGAGTTTCTCCCATTCCTCTCTGTAGATTACCTCAAGCTATCTCAGGTTGGATGGGGAGCATTGCTGCACATCAATTTTCAGATCTCTCCAGAGATGTTCAATTAGGTTCAAGTCCGGGCTCTGGCTGGGCCACTCAAGGACATTCAGAGACTTGTCCGGAAGCCACTCCTGCGTTGTCTTGGCTGTGTGCTTAGGGTCGTTGTCCTGTTGGAAGGTGAACCTTCTCCCCAGTCTGAGGTCCTGAGCGGTCTGGAGCAGGTTTTCGTCAAGGATCTCTCTGTACTTTGCTCTGTTCATCTTTGCCTCGATCCTGACTAGTCTCCAAGTCCCTGCTGCTGAAAAACATCCCCACAGCATGATGTTGCCACCACCATGCTTCATCGTAGGGATGGTGCCAGGTTTCCTCCAGACGTGATGCTTGGCATTCAGGCCAAAGAGTTCAATCTTGGTTTCATCAGACCAGAGAATCTTGTTTCTCATGGTCTGAGAGTCTTTAGGTGCCTTTTGGTAAACTCCAAGCGGGCTGTCATGTGCCTTTTACTGAGGAGTGGCTTCCGTCTGGCCACTCTACCATAAAGGCCTGATTGGTGGAGTGCTGCAGAGATGGTTGTCCTTCTGGAAGGTTCTCCCATCTCCACAGAGGAACTCTAGAGCTCTGTCAGAGTGACCATTGGGTTCTTGGTCACCTCCCTGACCAAGGCCCTTCTCCCCCGATTCCTCAGTTTGGCCGGCAGGCCAGCTCTAGGAAGAGTCTTGGTGGATCCAAACTTCTTCCATTGAAGAATGATGGAGGCCACTGTGTTCTTGGGGACCTTCAATGCTGCAGACATTTGTTGGTACCCTTCCCCAGATCTGTGCCACGGCACAATCCTGTCTTGGAGCTCTACGGACAATTCCTTCGACTTCATGGCTTGGTTTTTGCTCTGATACAGTGCATTGCAAAAGTATTCATCCCCCTTGGCATTTTTCCTATTTTGTTGCATTACAACCTGTAATTTAAATTGATTTTTATTTGGATTTCATGTAATGGACATACACAAAATACATTTCAATTAATTCTACAAAATAAATAACGGAAATGTGTTGCGTGCATATGTATTCACCCCCATTGCTATGAAGCCACTAAATAAGATCTGGTGCAACTAATTACCTTCAGAAGTCACATAATTAGTTAAATAAAGTCCACCTGTGCGCAATCTAAGTGTCACATGATCTGTCACATGATCTCAGTATATATACACCTGTTATCAAAGTCCCCAGAGTCTGCAACACCACTAAGCAAGGGGCAACACCAAGCAAGCGGCACCATGAAGACCAAGGAGCTCTCCAAACAGGTCAGGGACAAAGTTGTGGAGAAGTACAGATCAGGGTTGGGTTATAAAAAAATATCTGAAACTTTGAACATCCCACGGAGCACCATTAAATCCATTTTTTAAAAATTGAAAGAATATGGCACCACAACAAACCTGCCAAGAGAGGGCCGCCCACCAAAACTCACGGACCAGGCAAGGAGGGAATTAATCAGAGAGGCAACAAAGAGACCAAAGATAACCCTGAATGAGCTGCAAACACGTTTGGTGTTCGCCAAAAGGCACGTGGGAGACTCCCCAAACACATGGAAGAAGTTACTCTGGTCAGATGAGACTAAAATTGAGCTTTTTGGCCATCAAGGAAAACACTATGTCTAGCGCAAACCCAACATCTCTCATCACCCCGAGAACACCATCCCCACAGTGAAGCATGGTGGTGGCAGCATCATGCTGTGGGGATGTTTTTCATCGGCAGGGACTGGGAAACTGGTAAGAATTGAAGGAATGATGGATGGCGCTAAATACAGGGAAATTCTTGAGGGAAACCTGTTTCAGTCTTCCAGAGATTTGAGACAGGGACGGAGGTTCACCTTCCAGCAGGGCAATGACCCTAAGTATACTGCTAAAGCAACACTCGAGTGGTTTAAGGGGAAACATTTACATGTCTTAGAATGGCCTAGTCAAAGCCCAGACCTCAATCCAATTGAGAATCTGTAGTATGACTTAAAGATTGCTGTACACCAGCGGAACCTATCCAACTTGCCTTGAAGAATGGGCAAAAATCCCAGTGGCTAGATGTGCCAAGCTTATAGAGACATACCCCAAGAGACTTGCAGCTGTAATTGCTGCAAAAGGTGGCTCTACAAAGTATTGACTTTGGGGGGGGGTGAATATTTATGCACGCTCAAGTTATCTATTTTTTTGTCTTAGTTCTTGTTTATTTCACACAAAAAAATATTTTGCATCTTAAAAGCGGTAGGCAAGTTGTGTAAATCAAATGATACAAACCCCCCAAAAATCAATTTTAATTCCAGGTTGTAAGGCAACAAAATAGTAAAAATGCCAAGGGGGGTGAATACTTTCGCAAGCCACTGTATGCCCTGTCAACAGTGGGACCTTATATAGACAGCTGTGTGCCTTTCCAAATCATGTCCAATCAATTTAATTTACCACAGGTGGACTCAAATCAAGTTGTAGAAACATCTCAAGGATGATCAATAGAAACAGGATGCACCTGAGCTCAATTTCGAGTCTCATAGCAAAGGGTCTGAATACTTATACCCGTTTTTGCTTTGTCATTAAGGGGTATTTTGTGTAGATTGCTGAGGAAACAATCATATTTAATTCATTTTAGAATAAGGCTGTAACGTAACAAAATGTGGAAAAAGTCAAGGGGTCTGAATACTTTCCCTAGGTTGGTATGCCAATAAACAGCATTGAGGTTTTTATTAGCAATAGGACTACTGTTGTTTAGATGGGCATCCTAAACAACAGTAGTTATACAGTATATCCTTATATAGTTGAACTCTGAAGTTTACATACACCTTAGCCAAATACATTTAAACTCAGTTTTTCACAATTCCTGATATTTAATCCTAGTAAAACTTCCCTGTCTTAGGTCAGTTAGGATCACCACTTTATTTTAAGAATGTGAATTGTCAGAATAATAGTAGAGAGAATTGATTTATTTCAGCTTTTATTTCTTTCATCACATTCCCAGTGGGTCAGAAGTTTACATACACTCAATAGGATTGAGGTCAGGACTTTGTGATGGCCACTCCAATACCTTGACTTTGTTGTCCTTAAGCCATTTTGCCACAACTTTGGAAGTATGCTTGGGGTCATTGTCCATTTGGAAGACCCATTTGTGACCAAGCTTTAACTTCCTGACTGATGTCTTGAGATGTTGCTTCAATATATCCACATCATTTTCCTTCCTCATGATGCCATCTATTTTGTGAAGTGCACCAGTCCCTCCTGCAGCAAAGCACCCCCACAGCATGATGCTGCCACCCCCGTGCTTCACGGTTCGGATGGTGTTCTTCGGCTTGCAAACTACCCCCTTTTTCCTCCAAACATAACGATGGTCATTATGGCCCAACAGTTCTATTTTTGTTTCATCAGATCTTTGTCCCCATGTGCAGTTGCAAACCCGTAGTCTGGCTTTTTTATGGCGGTTTTGGAGCAGTGACTTCTTCCTTGCTGAGCGGCCTTTCAGGTTATGTCGATATAGGACTTGTTTTACTGTGGATGTAGATACTTTTGTACCTGTTTCCTCCAGAATCTTCACAAGGTCCTTTGCTGTTGTTCTGGGATTGATTTGCACTTTTCGCACCAAAGTACGTTCATCTCTAGGAGACAGAACGCGTCTCCTTCCTGAGCAGTATGACGGCTCCGTGGTCCCATAGAGTTTATACTTGCGTACTATTGTTTGTACAGATGAACGTGGTACCTTTAGGCGTTTGGAAATTACTCCCAAGGATGAACCAGACTTGTGGAGGTCTACAATTATTTCTTGGCTGATTTCTTTTGATTTTCCCATGATGTCAAGCAAAGAGGCACTGAGTTTGAAGGTAGGCCTTGAAATACATCCACAGGTAAAACCTCCAATTGATTTAAATGATGTCAATTAGCCTATCAGAAGCGTCTAAAGCCATGACATCATTTTCTGGAATTTTCCAAGCTGTTTAAAGGCAGTCAACTTAGTGGATGTAAACTTCTGACCTACTGGAATTGTGATACAGTGAATTATAAGTGAAATAATCTGTCTGTAAACAATTGTTGGAAAAATTACTTGTCTCATGCACAAAGTAGATGTCTTAACCGACTTGCCAAAACTATAGTTTGTTAACAAGACATTTGTGGAGTGGTTGAAAAACGAGTTTTAATGACTCCAACCGAAGTGTATGTAAACTTCCGACTTCAACTGTATACACCCGTATATACATAGTTTTGTTTGAGTCAAGTAAGACAAAGCTCCTGGTTTAGGCTCTTTCTACGATATCAACTGATACAGGCCACATTCAGATGTAATCAAATTGTGAGAGAATTCTGACAACCAACTTCATAAAACTCTGCATGCAAACTAGGAGTTCCCCCCGTCCCTGATACATGTGTAAATGTACTATAAATTGTGCCTTCCTGTATTATACTTATAATAATAATAATAATAATAATAATAATAATAATAATATGCCATTTAGCAGACGCTTTTATCCAAAGCGACTTACAGTCATGTGTGCATGCATTTTTACATATGGGTGGTCCCGGGGATCGAACCCACTACCCTGGCGTTACAAGCGCCATGCTCTACCAATTGAGCTACAGAGGACCACTTATGTTCAAATGTTTATTCCATTCTCCTGAGCCATTTACTTTATGTTCATATTCTTATATTTTCTTATTTCTTATTGTTGCTGCATTGTCGTGAAGGAATCTGCAAGTAAGCATTTCATTAGATGGTGTATACCATGTGTATCCTGTAAATACGACTAATAAAACTTCAAACTTCAAAGAGAGGGAACAAAGGGGAGTGAAGCAGAGTGTGGCATGCAAGGACTTCCTGGCATTCAAATCACAAAACTATGTTAACTACCTGACAAGTACTAGGCTGCAGAACTACAGAATGACCTTCAAATCTTGCATGTGACATTGTAAAACAGCTTATGTAAATATTGTATGCTCTTGGCAACATAACAGGCATGTAACTGTTTTCTCACATCATGGACATTTTCTAAGTGACTACATTAAAATGGCCCCTCAGGGATGAATACATTTAGACAACATTTTATTGTGTAGAGCATAAATATTATTTCCTTATAGGAAATGGTTGACATGTCATAACCGGGGGGACAGGAAGTGCTGTTACTTACTCCCAGCCGTCGTCTGCCTGTATTCCGATTGACTGGAATTTGGCCAATGGCGGTGTCGGTGTCTCCTCTCGTTGGACTTCCTCCTCAATGCAGTCAACCTAATAACCAATCAGATAACACAGTCATCAATCTGTAAAATGTTGAATCTGGAGGAAATTGGTGGTCTTCCAGGATTGCTATATCATTTTAATGTGGTTCTTGAGACGTTACACACTTCTCCAAGCATTGTGAGATCTGACCATTTGCGGAGTGCGAATGCAAAAAAAGGACAACCTGTCTCATTCCAAACCCTGAACAATTGAGTCTGAAAAAATTTAAATCGTCAAGCATGGGGAGTACTCTCATGAGTTTTTCATTTTCCAGATGGCAAGTTTAAAAATTTAGCAAGCCCCATATGAGCTGTAAGCATAAGAAAAATCCATACTGCATCAGTGCAGTACAGTGCTTGGTTATTCTTTAAAACGATAAATGGTTAGGTTTAATACCCTATGTAAATATGAGCCCAAGGCAAAAGTACATATTTTGACAAATTGAGAAACTCAGTATTGCAAATTCAGTTGACAGAGAATAAAAAGTTCAGCTACATGAGGGACATCACAAATATAAAGTAGCAGTCAAAAGTTTGGAAACACCTACTCATTCAAGGGTTTTTCTTTATTTTTACTATTTTCTACATTGTAGAATAATAGTGAAGACATCAAAACTATGAAGTAACACATATGGAATCATGTAGTCACCAAAAAAGTGTTAAACAAATCAAAATCTATTTTATATTTGAGATTCTTCAAAGTAGCCACCCTTTGCCTTGATGACAGCTTTGCACACTCTTGGAATTTTTTCAACCAGCTTCATGAGTTAGTCACATGGAATGCATTTCAATTAACAGGTGTGCTTTGTTAAAAGTTCTTTTTGTTAAGTTTTTTTTTTTTGTGGAATTTATTTCCTTAATGCGTTTGAGCCAATCAGTTGTGTTGTGACAAGGTAGCGGTAGTATACAGAAGATAGCCCCATTTGGTAAAAGACCAAGTCCATATTATGGCAAGAACAGCTCAAATAAGCAAAGAGAAATGACAGTCCATCATTACTTTAAGACATGAAGGTCAGTCAATCCGGAAAATGTCAAGAATGTTTATTCAAGTGCAGTCGCAAACTGGCTCTCATGAGGACCGCCACAGGAAAGGAAGACCCAGAGTTTCCTCTGCTGCAGAGGATAAATTCATTTGAGTTAACTGCACCTCAGATTGCAGCCCAAATAAATGCTTCACGGAGTTCAAGTAACAGACAAATCTCAACATCAACTGTTCAGAGGAGACTGCGTGAATCAGGCCTTCATGGTTGAATTGCAGCAAAGAAACCACTACTAAAGGACACCAATAAGAATAAGAGACTTGCTTGGGCCAAGAAACACAAGTAATGGACATTTGACCAGTGGAAATCTGTCCTTTGGTCTGATTATTCCAAATTTGAGATTTTTGGTTCCAACCGCCGTGTCTTTGTGAGACGCGGAGTAGGTGAACGGATGATCTCTGCATGTGTGGTTCCCACCGTGAAGCATGGAGGAGGAGTTGTGATGGTGTGGGGGTGCTTCGCTGGTGACACTGTCAGTGATTTATTTAGAATACAAGGCACACTTAACCAGCATGGCTACCACAGAATTCTGCAGCGATACGCCATCCCATATGGTTTGCGCCTAGTGGGACTATAATTTGTTTTTCAACAGGACAATGACCCAACACACGTCCAGGCTGTGTAAGGGCTATTTGACCAAGAAGGAGAGTGATGGAGGGCTGCATCAGATGACCTGGCCTCCACAATCACCCAACCGCAACCCAATTGAGATGGTTTGGGATGAGTTGGACCGCAGAGTGAAGGAAAAGCAGCCAACAAGTGCTCAGCATATGTGGGAACTCCTTCAAGACTGTTGGTAAAGCATTCCTCATGAAGCTGGTTGAGAGAATACCAAGAGTGTGCAAAGCTGTCATTAATGCAAAGGGTGGCTACTTTGAAGAATCAAAAATATAAAATATATTTTGATTTGTTTAACACTTTTTTGGTTACTACATGATTCCATGTGTTATTTCATAGTTTTGATGTCTTCACTATTATTCTACAATGTAGAAAATAGTAAAAAAATAAAGAAAAACCTTTGAATGAGTAGGTGTGTCCAAACTTTTGACTGGTACTGTATTTATATACTGTATATTCATTGCCGTTGTCAAGGGAACAATAGCAGTACACACCCCCACCCACCCCTCTAAGGATTTGAATCAGGAGCCCATTGGTTGCTGCACGCCAGTCCATTGCTGGCCTTAGCCATACTGCCACAGAAACTCTAGCTCCAGCTTTTTACCCCAAACAGTAAGAAACATACTGTGATGTTACTGACTAATGTAACATTAATGACTTTACTGTAACACCACTGACAATAGCATAACTTCACTGACAATACCATAGCGTCACTGACATTACCGTAACATCACTGACATTACCATAACGTCACTGACTAAACCGTAACCGCGCTCCCACCTGTATGCCTATGGAGGAAAGCTTCCTCCGGGGCACGATGTCCGCTCGGGGCTCCTCTGCCATCAGGTTCCCCCAGTTGATGCCCGTCGTCTTCAGGGGTTCACGCTGGGAGTCGTTGGTGTCAGTCCCGGTGGCGGCGTGGTGGACGGTGGTGGTGGTGGTGAGGGGTTCCCAGGGGGTGGCGACGGGGACGGGGATGGGTCGAGGGACACCCCGAGCCAGGCTGTTGGCGCGTGTGCTGTCGAGGCTGTCAGAGGAGTTGCTATGGGCTTGGCTGGACTGGCTGGTAATGGTCTTGCTGCGGCGGTCACGCTCAGACTGGTGGTCCAGGTAGGTGTCCTGGGCCGACTCAGTACTGCTCTGCACCGTCACAGAGATGTAGGGCTTGGAGGTGGTGCGGGGCGGCACGGGCGGGGGCGCCGGCTTCTTACAGGTGGTGATGCATGTGGAGACTGGAGGGGAGGGGGAGACAGAGATAGACAGAGAGAGACAGAGAGACAGAGAGACAGAGAGAGAGAGAGAGAGAGAGACAGAGAGAGAAAGAGAGAGAGAGAGTGAAAGAGAATGAGAGAGATTCCTATAGAGTATGTAGGGTGGACACCAATTTCGAAGACCGCTGTACGTTGACTGTTCATCGCATTCCACAAAATGTCAAGGGAAATGTCACCACCTTTAAGATAAGATATCTCCAAGCAGAAATAATGCTATGAAACATCAAATGCACACTACACCAAATTCGAAGGAGGAACACCCGCACCAACAGGAATGTATCCTTTAAAGTGGAAAATTACATTTAGCGGCACACTGAACATACGGTACATACCATGTACATACTGTTCCACATGTGGCTAGCATAAGTTGTATGCTTCAAAGTCCCAATCAGTCAATCAGATCACTAAGCCGTGTAAGGCAATTGCATGTGAACAGGAAGTACAGATCACCACCGTCTGACTGCTGTGTGTAGAGGGTAGTGTATGGAACTGTCCCATAGCTCTGTGAATAAGGCAATTGATTCATATAACTCTGCCTACTCTCCCCTGATGATCCTGGTCCCAGACCCAGTCCACTGAGATGTGAAGGATGAGTGAACTATGACACTAGAGCCGCGGAGGAAAGAGAGAGATCCTGGAGAGAGAGAGTACCGAGAGAGAAGTGATGGGAGAGGATGAGTGAGAGAGAAGAAGAGAGAGAGATGAGAGAGAGAGAGAGAAGAGAGGAGAGAGAGAGATGAGAGAGGAGAAGAGAGACAGAGAGAGAGAGAGACAGAGAGAGAGAGAGACAGAGAGAGAGAGAGAGATGAGGAGCAAGGCACATTAAGGAAGGGTCTGTAGGGATGAAGTTCGAGAGAGAAGATGCATAGAGAGAGAGAGAGAGTGAAAGAGAGAGCTGTCCCAGCTGAATAGAAGGACGGCATTGTGTGTGATCTGTTCTGCTACATCAGCACTTTTAACTGTGAAGGCCAAGTGTACTCATTCCACACCCTGTCAACAGAATAGGGACATACAGTACAGTGAGGGAAAAAAGTATTTGATCCCCTGCTGATTTTGTACGTTTGCCCACTGACAAAGACATGATCAGTCTATAATTTTAATGGTAGGTTCATTTGAACAGTGAGAGACAGAATAACAACAAAAAAATCCAGAAAAACGCATGTCAAAAATGTTATAAGTTGATTTGCATTTTAATGAGGGAAATACGTATTTGACCCCTCTGCAAAACATGACTTAGTACTTGGTGGAAAAACCCTTGTTGGCAATCACAGAGGTCAGACGTTTCTTGTAGTTGGCCACCAGGTTTGCACACATCTCAGGAGGGATTTTGTCCCACTCCTCTTTGCAGATCTTCTCCAAGTCATTAAGGTTTCGAGGCTGACGTTTGGCAACTCGAACCTTCAGCTCCCTCCACAGATTTTCTATGGGATTAAGGTCTGGAGACTGGCTAGGCCACTCCAGGACCTTAATGTGTTTCTTCTTGAGCCACTCCTTTGTTGCCTTGGCCGTGTGTTTTGGGTCATTGTCATGCTGGAATACCCATCCACGACCCATTTTCAATGCCCTGGCTGAGGGAAGGAGGTTCTCACCCAAGATTTGACGGTACATGGCCCCGTCCATCGACCCTTTGATTAGGTGAAGTTGTCCTGTCCCCTTAGCAGAAAAACACCCCCAAAGCATAATGTTTCCACCTCCATGTTTGACGGTGGGGATGGTGTTCTTGGGGTCATAGGCAGCATTCCTCCTCCTCCAAACACGGCGAGTTGAGTTGATGCCAAAGAGCTCGATTTTGGTCTCATCTGACCACAACACTTTCACCCAGTTCTCTTCTGAATCATTCAGATGTTTATTGGAAAACTTCAGACGGGCCTGTATATGTGCTTTCTTGAGCAGGGGGACCTTGCGGGCGCTGCAGGATTTCAGTCCTTCACGGCGTAGTGTGTTACCAATTGTTTTCTTGGTGACTATGGTCCCAGCTGCCTTGAGATCATTGACAAGATCCTCCCGTGTAGTTCTGCGCTGATTCCTCACCGTTCTCATGACCATTGCAACTCCACGAGGTGAGATCTTGCATGGAGCCCCAGGCCGAGGGAGATTGACAGTTATTTTGTGTTTCTTCCATTTGCGAATAATCGCACCAACTGTTGTCACCTTCTCACCAAGCTGCTTGGCGATGGTCTTGTAGCCCATTCCAGCCTTGTGTAGGTCTACAATCTTGTCCCTGACATCCTTGGAGAGCTCTTTGGTCTTGGCCATGGTGGAGAGTTTGGTGGAGAGCTCCCTTTAAGAGTGTGCTCCTAATCTCAGCTCGTTACCTGTATAAAAGACACCTGGGAGCCAGAAATCTTTCTGATTGAGAGGGGTTCAAATACTTATTTCCCTCATTAAAATGCAAATCAATGTATAACATTTTTGACATGCGTTCTTCTGGATTTTTGTTTTGTTATTCTGTCTCTCACTGTTCAAATAAACCTACCATTAAAATTATAGACTGATAATTTCTTTGTCAGTGGGCAAACGTACAAAATCAGCAGGGGATCAAATACTTTTTTCCCTCACTGTATGCTTTTCCAGCAACATTTCACAATGTCTTACGGTCACTTATGTACACTTGTGGCCATTGTGTACATATAGTCTGGTTCTGTGCATAAAGCACACTTTCAGGTCTTGTGAGATAAAATGACTTCATTATGATTTGAAGTGCCCACTCACCACATGTTGGAATACAAGTAGCCTTCATTAAACCTCTTACTGAAGCAGACTACAGACACAGAACACAACGCCAGTCCAGTACTTCAAAACAGTCACTGTCTCACTCTGTTATCTGTAACCCTGCCTCATAGTGTATGTGTAGAGAACAATGAGTACTCTGTTGCAGAGGCTTGACTGGTTAGGTGAGAATATTTGAAACCTTTTTGAGTGGAATATTTACTGTTAAATTCTAATAGTTTTCTTGTTGATGTTGTTTAGTGTCTTCTCACTTCTGTTCATTTCACTTGCTTTGGCAATGTAAACACGTTTCCCATGCCAATAAAGCCCCTTTGAATTGAATTGATAAAATGGCCTCTATGTAATGCAGGTATGGGCAACTTTGATGGGGGTGGAGGCCACAAAAAAACGGAACTCATCATGAGGGGCCGCAGTGGGTCTGTGTACCCACATCCATTGCAGTTTTTTAAATGATAATTGATGATCAAGTGGTCCCACCCCAGTCGGTAATTCGACCATTGCTTACTACAAGTTTAGATAGCTGGCCGCTAGACTAACTTACCAATCTAAAAGAAAAATATAAAAAAGTAGCTGACATGGGCTAATTGAGTGCCTGCTGATGCTCAACCAAATTTCGAAATTGCACCTTGTGTATTCTACTATTCTGATTCTCAACAGTAAGTTCAGACCCTGACTGAGTTCCCCCAACAACAAAAATAATAATGAAATTGGTCCGCGGGCCTACAAAAGGGGGCAGCCAGTTGCCCATCCCTGGTCTAATGCATTCAGTGATGAAGATCACGCATTGTGTACAATTAATATTTTTTGCTCTTCACAGACAGGGATAAGGGGTGAAACTGATCCAAAATGGCGCAGTCAATCACCATGCAGGAAAAAGTGTCAGTGACACTGTTGCCTTTTGATCACCCCATGTCAAGTCTTCCTCATGGTCCATAGACTAGTGAAATAAGAGTGGGATGAGTGCACTTCACAAAAAGGCAGTGGTTGCTGTGTGATCTCTACAATAGATTTCTACAATGGAAACGTTACTTGACACTTAATGGAGGCTGTAACTGACACCATCTTTAGACTTAATAGGGCAGAGAGGGGCAACCAGGATCTCAAGCTCGAGTGGTGGTCAGGAATGTCATTGTAAACAATCCGAGTCAACTGAGGACAATTAACCTGTTCCATAGCGTTGTAAACAATCCGAGTCACTTGACGACAATTAGCCTGTTCCATAGCGTTGTAAACAATCCGAGTCAACTGACGACAATTAGCCTGTTCCATAGCGTTGTAAACAATCCGAGTCAACTGACGATAATTAGCCTGTTCCATAGCGTTGTAAACAATCCGAGTCACTTGACGACAATTAGCCTGTTCCATAGCGTTGTAAACAATCCGAGTCAACTGACGATAATTAGCCTGTTCCACTAATGACTAATCCGTGCCAAGACAGTATTCAAATCTAATATCAGGACTGGAGAAGTGACTTCTCAAATTATAGGCTAGCTGACAGACAACAACATTGACTCAAAATTGGCCTCAAATAATGTCAAACAATATTAGTCTAGCATCATGCTGCAGACGACTCTGTGGTGGATCTATTTTGAGTGTTTAAAAATTAGCGTAGCTGCCTTTGACAGAGGACATCTGCCTCACCAAAACACCAATGTTTACTGTAGCCCAAATAATGGCTTTGACACAACTTTGCTTCCTTGTTTTCCACTCCTTATTGAGCATGGGTCAGGGTGAGGGAGGGGATACGTAGCAGGCTTTTGGAGGAGGGTTAGTAAAGACATAGGCTTAGTGGGGGAGCTAGCATTTTTGGAGCTTGGGGTGAGTTTGGCAAAGGAAAAATGCCCACATGAATGTAACCAATGCGCATGCTGACATCACATGGATTTTGTCTGAGGACACTTTGCTTTCCAGTAAAAATTCATTTGGTGTGTCCTAAGATGGCTCTGGATGTGTGTCAAGTTGTGCAGGCTCGAATTACCTTATTATAATACTATTTGAAAGTGAAGATGAATTTAGCCTGGTGTAATTCTATCTACCCAGAGATATTTATTATATGAAAAGTGAGTTGAACATCCTCAATGACAGGCAGTTGCAGCTACCTGTAACAAGCACTGGCATGACATGGCACAGTCACTTTTTGGACAACGAAGGCAACATGTGATCGGCTATTTGAGCCAAAAGTGAACAGTCCATAAGTCATGAACAAAGCTAAATAGCTAATAGCCATGACCTTCTTCTAGCACATTCCCTGAGGCGATTTTCCAAATGTTTCACCCTTGGCCTAAAGGAAACGTGTACGACTATGACAGCTCTTTTCAAAATAACTTCACCTTGGCTAACTGTACAAGCTTCGACTTTCCTTAGATATGTATTTTAAAACCAACATTGTTATGTTAGTAATATCTCCCTATGGCTGTAAATCTCAGCTACTTGACATGGGCTTTTTTAACACTAGGAGCGGCATAAACATGTGAGGGAGCTTGGAAGAAAACACTCAAAACAAAAGATCTGTTGTGGGGCTTGATCCACGGACTTATAGCTTTATAGGACTTATAGCCTCTGTGTGTGTCACGGCCTCACCTTATGATATGCTCACATGAACTCACTCGCG